TGCTTGGAAATACACATTCGTCGTTGATAACTAGAAGAGTCGTCTGTGAAATACCTCCGTCTTTTTATTCTTTTACAGCGGAGCTGTTAAAGGCTAGTTTCCCCAGTTTCGTGACCGTGGACAAATAAATCTCGACACAAAACTCTGGAAAGCTACCGCCATCTATGAGCAACGGCGGCAACCAGACAGCCGGCGTGCCGGTTGTCTGGTTGCCGCCGTCACTTATAGATGGCGGAAAACTTTCCAGCCTTTCCACTCTGGTTTTCACCAGAGTGGAAAGGCTGAATTTCTCTAGACGTAATCCTAGGACGACCTCGAGGACAACGTCCTAGACGTTGTCCTCAAGATCGTCCTAGAAGTCGTCCTTGAGGTCGTCATAGATGTCGTCCCTGAGGTGGTCTTTGAGGTCGTTCTAGACGTCGTCTCTGAGGTCGTCCTTGAGGCCGTCCAACAAGTCCTCCTTGAAATCGTCCAAGAAGTCGTCCTTGAGGTCGTCCCACCATAGTACAGCTTCGCTGGTCTTCCTTCTTCACTAGAGTGGAAAGGCTGAAAGTTCTTTCTTCTACAACCTTCCTATATTAAATATCTAGGCGGAGGCTGGTTCGAGATCATATCAGACCAGTAGACGGTGATGGACGCTCAGTGATAAGGGCCTTCCACTGTCATATCAGATCAGATAAGATTTTTTTCCCTCAAACATATCACATTACATGAGGGGGGAATACATACAACATTCAATGCACAAAAATAAAAAGCAAACAGCAAAACAAAACAAAAAAAATGAATTCAGGGATCACACTTTACAAATGGGAATTACAAATGTCGCGAAATTTATTGGTATCAGCTTCCTGGACGATGTGAGCGAGTAAGGAATTCCAGTCGGATATAGCAAGTAAAAGGGGGGAATTTTGAAATTCGTTAGTTCTGGAGAAGCGGTGCTGAAGTTTTAGTGGATGATCGCGGCGCTTTGAAATGTAAGATGAATCTTGGAGATAGAGGCTACAAACATTCCGATGATGAGTAGTGGATGCCACAAAGAGAAACAAGACGGGCTAATTTGGTTCTAACGGTTAGAGGTTTCAACTCCGGGCTGGTTTTAATAATTGTGACACTCGAGGTTCTGGAATTGTCATGCATGATGTAGCGTGATGCCTTGTTTTGAACAGACTCGAGCTTGTTAAGAAGGTATGCTTGATGAGGCCACCAGATGATGTTGAAAAATTCGAGTTTCGATCGCACAAATGCTTTGTAGGCGGTTAGTTTGACTGTCTGAGATGAGCGGAAAAGGTGGCGTTTGAGGTATCCGGCGATTTACATGCACTTGAAACGGTGTTATTGATATGATTGTTTCAGGTTAGGTCCTCTGAAAAAATTTCTTCTAAGTACTTGTATGTTCGAACTTTTTCTATGTCTTCGTGGTTAGTGAAATATTTCCTTGGCTTAGAAGAGGGCTGACTGGCAAATGTTATAAATCTTATTTTGTTTGTGTTGAATCTCAGTGGACATGTGCTGCACCAAAGTGAAATCATGTTGAGGCCTTGCTGTAGCAGTGCTTGATCATTTGGGTTGGTGATGCGCCGGTAGATAACAAAGTCATCTGCAAAAAGTCTTATGGAGGATATTAAGCTAGGAGGCAGGTCGTTTATGTAAATGAGAAATAAAAGCGGACACAATACGCTGCCCTGAGGGACTCCCGACTTTACTGATAATTTAAAAATGTTACTATCTCCGACATATGTAGAATTTTTACGACTTTCAAGAGAAGTGACAATTCATTGTTTGATAACAGGATGAATGTTGAGTTCAGAGAGCTTGTACAACAGGCGTTGTTGAGGTGCGGAGTCAAAGGCTTTGGCAAAATCAATAAATGTGGCATCAGTTGTTCTAGAAGAGTGGATGTTTTCGTGCAAATTAGTAACAAATTAAAAAAATTGCGTTCACACGAAAAACCATTTCTGAATCCATGTTGGGTAGCATTGATTAGGTGATGGTCAGGTACGTAGCTAATGACATGGGAATATATGACATGCTCCATAATTTTGCATGATGCACTTGTTAGTGAAATTGGTCTATAACTAGAGAAATGTTTTTTTTTATCACCAGGTTTAAAAATTGGTAGCACTTTCCCAAATCTCCAATCCGCCGGAAGGTACATTAGCTCTACAGATCGCTTAAAAATGAGATTTAGTAATTGACAAGATATGGTTCGTGTTACCTTCAAACGTTGGGGACAAATGTCGTCTTCGCCAGGTGCTGAGCTTTGGGAGAGTCGATCAATAATTGCCAAACAGCCTTCTTGTGTAAATGTGACAGGTTCACATGATACGGTTGGAGATACACAAATTTGATCACATGGCAAAGGAAACTGTTCCTCAGTGAAAACAGATACAAAATACTCATTAAAAATGGCTGCTGAATCATGGTTCGAGAGCTCCTGTTCTTGCTCATTATAAATCTTAGGCGAATTTCGCTCTTGTTGAGGACCGATGGTCTTTGAAGTTTGTGGGGTTTGTTTTGAATAAATTTAGAAGGTTACTCATGTAATATTTATTTTTTGCCTTTCTAATTACAGATTCGTACTTGTTGTAGCACTCATTATATTTTTACTAGTCTATAACTAGATGACTTAACTTTGATGTAAAAAACAAACGTTTTTTCTTATTAGATAAACTTTTTAACCAGTTAGTGAACCATGGTCGTTCAGCATTCGTTTTAGCACAATTTTCAGAACGAAAGTTGACTTAAGTCTCTTAAACTCCAGTTTCAACATATTCCAGTTTGCCTCAAGCGATCGTTTGTTAAAATTTTCTTACCACTTAGACGCAAAACTTTGAAAAGAGGCAACAAGAGCTTCCTTGTTGACTTCAGAATAATCATGTATAATTTTTGATGGCGTAGCTTTAAACTCAATCTGGAGTGTCATTTCAACAAAAACAATGTTATGGTCACATATTTAACCGAGAACATCAACTGCCATAATATTTTGAGGAGACGACGTAACCGACGACGTTTAGTATAGCATTGTTCCTCGTAGGCTGACTAACGATTTGATTAAGGCTAAAAATGCTTGCTATATTAAAAAATTAGAGGCTTCCAATGGGTTTGAACATAAATTTTCAATACACCCTTCTTTCCAGTTAGCACCAGGGTAGTTAAAGTCCCCTCCTACCATAATACAACAATATGGGTAGGAACATTTAATAGATTTGATGCATTCAAACAATTTCTCTGAAAAGCCATTACCTCTGCCCGGAGGGCGATAACAGGCGCCAAGAAAAAACATGAGTGAGTAAATTCTAGACGAACCCACAACATTTCTAGGCTACAATCAACAGGGTTGAGAGAAGCGTTAACAGATTTGCTAACTGCAACAGCGTGCGACAGCGTACGATCTTTCCGAAACAGATTGAATGTCTCACTCAGAAGAAACTCCACATTTTCAACTTCAGGTGGTAACCACGTTTCAGTTCCTACTACCATCTTAGAATTGGTATCGTCGATGACCAATGCAAGATCGTCATGTTTAGATAAAAGAATACGGAAGTTAGCGAGAATGAGTGAGACATCAACTTTTTTTTTTTTGGCTACGTGTTACCTCATGCTATGGCACAGTCATATTGTTGTTCTGAAGTCGTCTCAGCAAAATCACGTCGTCATTCTGGGGACAATAGCAGAAGTGTTTACCATCAGCGTATAGCTTGTCGAAGACAAGTTTGACCTTAATGTTCCTTTCTCTGAATTGCTCACTAAATTGCCATAGTTTGCCACGATGTAGACGGGTCCGTGGTGTGAAATCTTCCGAAATAGAAACGCGTAGAGAAAGAACGTTTTTTAGTTTCTGAGCGCTATGAAGAATATCCTGTCTACTTTGATAGTCGAGGAAGCGCGCAACAAAAGGGCGTTTTGCGAAGTCACGTTTGCCACCCACGCGGTGCGCACGCTCAATCACACCGGCTTCGAAGCCCAGATGTATCTTCATAAACTCCTTCATAATGACAGATGAATGTTCCCATGTTTCATTTTTGTTTTTCTGGAATGCACCAGAAGAGCCCGATTGTTTCTTCTCATTCTATTATTTAGGTCATCAATTCCGGACTAGAGTAAATCAAATTACCCGCGCGTGCAACCAAGATCAGCCCTTAACTTGCGAACACTTGCCTCAACAACCATGAGTCTTTCTTTAACCTCACTTATTTCATGAATTTGTTTTTCTAGGGCATGAACCGTGTGTTGAAGTTCGCCGATTCCTCAACAGATAGAATCCAGCCTTTCCCGAGTTTCCTTTCGGTTCTCTTCATTTGTTGCCGCGAGCTTTTGAAGCATTACATCTAATTCTCCGATTCCCGTAAGTGGCCCAGGATTTGGTTCTACGTCTCATGATAGGGCTAGCAATCCCTCCAACAACAAGACACATGTATCGTGAGTGGTCGTGAGGTAGGGAAAGCAGGCTGTTAAGCAGAGCAGCGAATACATTACAGAAACCACGAAAACAAGTTAGTACTCATTGACGGTCGATGGGGCACGACACTCCCAAGAGCTTGGGATTATTAGAACGGTAACATTTCGCATTTTTCATATAATTAACCTGGGCTGTGAAGCGTGTTAGGTACAATGGTTGTGCCGTGCCCCGATGGTTGCAGGCAGTGCAGCTCCTGTTGAAGATGTTTCGCCGACGGGAAGGGGGAAGCGTCGAGCGACGCACCACTGCTCGGTGATGCCCAAGGTGGAAGATAGAGCACCGTGACTGCGTGCCCGCGCTATCTTTTGGCGAGGAGCTCGAGTGAAGCACGTGTTCTTCCGGCCAAGACGGTTGGTGCAGCGTAGTCCCATGCAGAACGGTTAGATCCGCGGCGACAAACAGGAGCAGGAGCTGGGTTGTGAAGCGTGCTAGGTACAGCATGGCTTTGTCGTGTCCGCGTTGAAAGGAGTCTCGCAGGTGGTTGACAAAGACGACTCGTGCATGCAAGATACTTGGGTACCCGTGGAAAGCAAACAAAGAGATGCTCGCAATTGCTGCCATCTTCACCATCTTGGTCGTCCTGGGAATAGGTCTTCTAAGGTGAGTTGCTATAGCGGGTGATGAACACTGCGTGACACTGCTTGCGCGAACACGGCTTCTGTGCCTTTTTCATCTTACTTCGAAAGGATATTGGCAAGCATTCAAACTTTTGCTTGGGTTAATACCCCGTCTGTGCATTGTACTCCACCATGATCATTTTAACGACCATTCTTTCAATACTGAGAGGAAAAAAGAAGATAAGACTGGTTTGTTTTGCATTATCAGCGTTTTGAAGTGTCGACGGTCCGAAAAAAACGAAACATTGACGACGACCTTCATGTCCAGAGCGCGGTATTGAACATTATGCAGTATTTAAACAGCGACCATCTAAATGTATTAAGAAAAACATTAGAAAGTCATGTCAGGTAGTGAAACGATTGTTGTTAATTATTTCGCAGCTAAAGTCAGCCGGAAAACGTATGCCACCTGACATCAGCTCAGGTTATGTCAATTATGCGATACATTTAGCGAGTAAATTAAATTTGTTCATAGGCCACGTGACGTCAACTCCTTCGCTAAATGTAGCGGGAAAAGTAAATTCCTCTACTGGTAATGTGACGTCAAATTTTCTGCTAACTTTTGCAGAGAAACCGAATGGTATTTAGGCTACGTCACCTGAATTTTCCAGCTAAATTTAGCGGAGAAATGAGACAACGGGTGGACTGACAAATTTCTGGGTTTAAGGGTTTTCGGTAAAAAATCATAATTTCATGCTTTAAAATCAAATCGTGTCTTTGGACCCGAATAATGCACCGATCTCATTGAGCGTTCGGCGCATGCGTGAAACTGCCATAATTTTAAATCACAGTAAATTCACTGGATCCTTGGAAACAAATGCCATTTCCTTCCCCGACTGCTAGCAGGAAACAAAAAGATACTAACATACAGACTACCAAACCTCGGGAGGTGATTGGCTGGTTGGTGTCAGTTGCCATGGCAATCGCCATTTCTGTCCATTTAATATCTTCCTGCCTTCGAAAGTGTCGTTCTGAATCAGCTGCGCCATTACCGTTGTTGAGCATCATTGTATTGAAAGCGTTCCTCATAATAAAGAAACAAAAAAACGAAATTGTTCCTCGCCAATATAAGCGTCTGTCCGCAGTTCATGCAATCAACTTATCAATTGTGCCTATCTGCGGTGAACTTTTTCAATGGTATCGTTGTTGCTGGCGTACTTCACGACGGGAAAAATGATCTTTTTAATGCCGCCACGCACCGACGACTCACGTAGTGGTTGTGCGAAGATGCGCGTTTGCTTCGCCGGTGTTTGGATAAAAAAAGAAATCGCGGTATTCGAAAATGTTTTTGTAAAGCAGCTCGTCACCGACAGTGTGCATCACCTCACCAAGAGTGGAGAGGCCAAGGGGAAACTGCTCTTTCCACGAATCAAAATGGCGACTCTACGCGGGAGCTTGACGCTATACTTACATAGGAGAAGGACGGCGTGTTTTCGACGACTGTCGCCGGTGACATTTTTTATTCGCGCTCCTTTCAAAACCACAAGCGATACAAACCACCCAATAAGACTTTTTTAAACCTGTCCTTCACTTTAAGTTCGACCGCAGTTGACGCTACTGTACGATGGAACAATTCATCCAGCTTCAAAAGTGCACAGTCACGGAGCGCTTGTTGTCTTTGCGCTTTTGCTAGCACAATAAAGGCTGTGTTTTTTTTTTTTGGTGCGTGATTGGTTAAGTCGGTGATAGCATGCCTACAAAAACAACGATAACCGTGACGAGGCGCTTCTGACACTGCCTGGTTAACTCTAAAGTCCCTTGATGGGGGGGGGGGGGGGGGTTAAAATATTAAGGTGGTCTAGTTGATTTAACATATTGAATTAGAAAACGCAAAGGACAGACACGGACATGAAGTAGACAGGACAGCGCTATTCTTGATAGCCTTGATACTTCTTTTACAAGTAACGACAACCAACACAAATCACAAAGCACATTCCGTTTTGGAACACAATGGCGGAATTCAGTTGTCTTCTGCTGTGCACCGCCATTCGCTTCCTGAAACCTGCATCGTGACGCAGTCGGCGCTTCAAAGAATGCCGCTACTTGTAGGAAGCTCTTATCTAGGGACTTTAATTGGCTCCATTGAACTGTGGAGTCGTCTGCGGTCGAACTTATAATATGCAACGGAGCCGACGTAATCTGTGTTATCTGCAGCGCGGGAAAAGGGGTTGAATGCCTATGCAGATTGTTACCCTTTAGAGAGGTGAATGACTAGCATAGGCAACAGGGAAGGGGGAAAGAAAGATGTGAGAGGAGTTTGTTAAAAATAGTGGGCTGTTTCGGGGACTAGGTGTCACCTTCGGAGATCACGCGCTATATAAAGGCGTGTGCTATGAGAAGGCGTGCTTCATAAAACCGTTGTAAGTCGTGTGTGGCTGACAAGAGGCAATGTGCCCTTGATTCCTGTGTATCTGCTCGCTCATTTCCATGAACTCCACAGTGGGATAGAATCCACTGGAATGTGAGCTTCCAAGCATTGTCCTCCAACTCTGTTGCTAAGTGTGCAGTCTTCTGAGTTATCAGGGGAGCGTTCTCGGCGTCAATGATATGATCCAGAGCTCCGCGAGGATCTGCCAGGGTCACAACTTTTCCGGTCGCAAAACGTTCCTGAAGGGCCTTGAGAGCCAAAAGAACTGCAACCGTCTCAGCTGTCGTAGATAATGTCTCGATGTTCAAAATAACAGCTTTTTCAGTTGATAGGGCGGGCATTGTGTAGGCTGCAAATGTAGTTCCTCTCTTGATGTCGACTGAGCCATCGGTGTAGATGGCGATGTGTCCAACGTACTTATCTTCGAGGGCCACGGCAACGGCAGAACGAGCAACTGTTGGATGGAGATCTCTTTTTTTAGGTAGGTCTCGCAATGACTCGTGCATGTTCAGTAATGGGCGTGTTCTATGCGGAGGGGTGGGGAGGATAGAGCGTTCCTGGGCTTGCGACATCACGTTGAAACTGCGCTGCTAATTCACCGCGTTTTGATGATGATCCTTTGAGCAGATGGGGCAGTATGTAATCCGCCGACGGGATGGTGTGCAATCGCGTCAAGGAATGCATCACTGCTTTTTCTGCTCGAAGACTGATTGGCTGCTCTTGGGCTTCTTTTAGCGTCAGAACGTTTCTTGCGTAAGGGGGAAGACCCAGGCATAGTCATAGCGCAACACGGGGAAAACGTTCTAGTGCGTCTATTTGAGGTTTTTGAACGTTGACGAAGGGAATTGCATACAGTAGCTTGGACTGAACGAGGCCCCTGTAAAGCGTTCGTAAACCACCTAGTGGAATACCCTGCTGGCTGTGCGCCCGAAAAGTATGGAGTACGCCCAGTACTTGGCGACACTGCCCCAGTAGTGTTTTTACCGCCGTCCTCTGTGTCACGAGGTTGCCATAAAGAAGGCCGAGACAGAGGTGGAAATGCTTCTTTAAATCTTCAGGCCGTCAAACATTACTTCGACAGTTTGCCGCCATCGCTGTAAGGTAAAGCGGTCTTGGAGGGCGAGGAAGTCAGTCCTAGACGAGTAATTTCTGCTGTAGCTCTGTCAAACGCAAACTGAAGAATCTGGTTTGTCATATTTGCCTGGTGTAGGGGTCCAAATGTCGATATTGCGACATCATTCGCATAAATGGCAATATTTGTACGCGGGGTGAGTGGGTAGGACATCGGAGGAAGCGCCGCAGGAAGAGATCTCATTTGAAGATTAAAAAAAAATCAGGCTTACGACGCTGCCCTGCGGTACTCCTTGTGGCACTTTTCTTGGGGTACTTGTGACTTCTTGAACACTCACAACGCATGACGCTCTTCACCCTCTTCGTCATCTCATCATCATCGTGCATCCACACGATTCATTTATACGATACCATTTCATCACCATTAGAAGAGGCGCCGCAGGCCTTCAAGATATGAGCGATTTGCCTTTCTGCGGCGCCACGACCCTCCTGAGTTGAAATAAATATATTAATATATCAATATCTACAGGGTGAAACAAGGAGACGCCAGGCTTTTTAAATCGACCGGAAAATTCGGTTTCTTAACCTATCGCGCTACGACTTTGTGCAGCGTTGCCCACAGATGGTGCTTTTTTTTTTTGTAAAATTTGCGAAGAGCGAACTTACCTGAGGAAAAAGTAAAGAATGAAAAAGGCTTAGCTCCTATGGAAACGCAGCGAAGCCACCGGTCTGCAAACAACACGGCGCCGTTTCGCACGGGAGACAAGAGATGGCGCAAGCGGTCGCTACTCCAACTGCCGCCAACGAACGAGCAGACGACGACGAGAGCCGGCCCTTTTGCAGACAAGGAACTGCAGTTCCTTGCTGTTACCGCGCCTGTCTTTTTTGTTTCTGCGACTGTCGCCGCCTGCGGAACGCGCGCCGCTTTTGAGTCGAAAAGATCGTCTGCTAAAAAGGCCTGCTCTCGGCGCCGTATGCTCGTTCGTTGGAGGCGTTTGTTGCGCCATCTCTTGTTTCCCGTGCGAAACGGCGCCGTGTTGTTTGCCGACCGGTGGCGTCGCTGCGTTTCCATAGGAGCTAAGCCTTTTTCTTTTTTTACTTTTTCCTCAGGTAAGTTCGCTCTTCGCAAATTTTACAAAAAAAAATGCACCATCTGTGGGCAACGCTGCACAAAGTCGTAGCGCGATAGGTTAAGAAACCGAATTTTCCGGCCGATTTGAAGAGCCTGGCGTCTCCTTGTCTCACCCTGTATATCCTCCGAGTCTATCACCACGCCCGGGTCACCAACCTCTAGCGCGTTCGATCTTGGTATCGCGATGAATGAAAGAGAGGGCGGGACCAAATCTGCTTAGCTGAAAACGTTTTTGTTTGCTTGCTCGTGCTGTCAGGCTCGTGTCAACGAGTAACGTCGTTGTCTTATTCGCGATGAGAAGCTCGCTTGGGTCGCTTCTGTTTTCCTCACTTTGGGTAGTGCACATGCTATACCCACTCGGCAATGTTTGAATTTTCCTAGTGCTTAAGAGCTTGGCGTTGCACGTACTCGCACCAGCAGAGGGAGTTGGAGTACCGTCACTCTGGCCTGCGAAACAATTTCCACCACGCGGCGAAACCCACGCTTCTTGCCGCGAATCTCGGCGGAAGCAGACCGAAGGACCGCTACATGACCTCGTGAGACAAACTACGAAATAAGATTTCTTATTTTTGGCCTAGAAGTTCGTAAAACAAAGATCCAAACATGCCTCTGGGGGACAAATGTCCGCAAATGCATGCCCGAAACGTCTGATATCTTTTGGAGTATGCTATATAGGCTGGTTCACACCAACCCGTTTTGTTACGTTAAGCTACGTTACGAAAAGTCACCGGGAAATCTGTGCTTTGTGTTAAGCGTGGCTACCAATTCAAGGATATGTGTGAACCGGTCTTATAACGCTACATAAAGCTCATATTATTACGCTGCGGGAGACGCCGTTTTTTGTTGTTATTAATATGATCACTGACAGCTTAGTAGTCGCTCCTCAGTCAACGAGATTGCGGCATTAGCCAATGGGGAGCGCAAGTTCGTCTGCTTCTTTTGCAGGGTTTGTGGTGACGTCAGAAACACGCCAAGCTCTGATTGGCTCTGATTGAAGGATAGTGGGTAAAGCTCAAAGCAGCTTGCTTTCAGGTCCACCCGCTGTCCTTCAATCAGAGCCAATCACAGCTCGGTGTGTTTCTTACGTCACCGGAACTTCTGCGGAAAAAGCAGACGACTTGCTCTACGCATCAGCGACACGCCCGACCGAAAGCGTCGTTGGGGCCGCAGTTGGCGGTTGGCCAAGTGCTCGCTGTTGACCGTCTTTGTCTGTATTAATTTTTCTCTCGTCGACCAAAATCAGCCCAATGTGAGCGCGTCAACTGGGCAGATGTCTGTTTAAGAATGTGAAGGTTCCAGGCTTCCATAATTGTTATTTTTTACACGTACCATCGAGCATGTGGTTCGCGACTGATGATAGTTAGCCAAAGATTACAACTTATGGCGTCACAGCGAGGAAATATCCGGTCATGACGTCACGAACGGAAAGTAGAAGATGGCGCCACCGACACATTTCGGTTCTAATAGTTGAAATTCAGTAAGATGCGATGAAAGTTATTATTTAGTTTGATTTGTATTTTCTCACTTGGCGTATTTAAAGAATTCTTTTTTTTTGTACTCCGTCACACTCTGGGTTTAAAAAATCATGACAAAAACAGCATAGTGTTGAAGTGACAGGCATCTAAACATGCTATGAACAATACTTTTCGACGTTGGGTTTGTGGCATTAAACAGACTCCTTCTCTCTTTTTTTGTGATATTGCTGGTGGCCTGCGCAGTAAGCACACTGCCCACCAGGTATTCCTGTCATCCTTTTGGAGCATCGTTGTAATTCAAGTTTAAATAGTATTATCCACGTCTGTTTTTTTTTTCTAACAAAAATCACTAAGTCTCGAAGGCCAACCGGAGTTTCGACGTTGCCTTATCTCCTACTGATCTTTGGGAATATTGTGACACTAGTGTCGTCAACAACCGTATTGTCCCTTCTTACCTTTTGCGGTTCCGCCAGTTTCAATAACGAAGGTCACTATGGTGGCGATAGTGGGACCTCGAGACCTCACCGGGTTATCTATCAAGGTCTTTGTTTACGAACAACGTTTCCATAGATGCCGCCTGTACTCGAACTTAAACACAGGGCTGGGCATATTTTGCCCACTATCCTAGATTCTTGATTTGTTCTTTTCTCTACTGTCATAAAATGTAAATATGCTGGTAAACAAATAACATAGTTTTTCTGAGCGCTGCGCACGGATCCAGGTCGGCCCGATGGCTTTGTCTACAAACACATCAATTCGTTACTATTCATGCGCGTGTTCTTGTTTTAAAGTCTGACCATAGTTTTAAAAAAAAGTCTAGAGATACAATGTATTTTTTGGCTCAATTAATTTTAATAGTTCCCGTTGTAGAGCTGAGGAAGGAAATATACAAGAAGCACATTATTAAATATTGTATTAGTGGTTTTAAACCTTTTAAAATTTTCAAAATGCAGCGTTCAAGGCTATAAATTAATCAATACACCTTCAGCACATCTCTGACCATTGACAAATAAAAACAAAGGTGAGAAAAAGTTAGGAATTACATAAGATATCATCAATTATGCGTCGTCTATGCCCTGTGCAGATGGAGACAGAGAACCTTTTCCTACTTCAAAGATCTTGGAATTCCTGGACCCAAGCCAAGCCTGCTATGGGGCAACCTGTGGGAATACCACGAAAAGGTCAATATTGTTCCTCATTTTAAGTTTTGATGTTGTGACTTACGAGTCCTAAAAGCGATTTAGAAATGAGTATAACTAGATTTGGATCTCTCATGTCCTTTTTGTCATCACTCTAAAAGAAGAATCTATAATACGTTTAAACCAATTCGCCTGCACACCTTTTTATCTTCAATAATTTGAACATAAATTTATTCGCCAATTTATTGTGCGTGTATTCTCTTATATCCAAGTATACATTTTTTTAAACAATACTATTACATGCAAGGATAGAAAATGTAGTAAATTCATTTAACTATTTTTCTATTAATTAGAAAGGTTCATGCCGTAATGTAAACTACCCAACTACTCTTCATGTTAATGACTGAGGGGTATAATTTTACGTAGAAACACTTTATGTCAGTAACCACGGATAAAAAAAAACCCAAAACCTTAACATTTGGTAAAAACATTTCTTGCCTTTATACTTTCAAACCCTCAATCCACCTTGCACGCGTTATTTCGCTCATTTGTCCTCCATGGTTGCATGTTACCACAAAGTGGAGTTGCGTTTGTTGTTCGGGCATGTCTAGTCTCCTCACATGTGGAAGCGGGGTCCTCATTTGCCAGTAATTTTGAGTAATGATATCAAATTGACTTTTTGTAATTCGACTTGAATTACAAGAAGTTGTTTTTATTAAAAAAAGCGAGCCACCCTGGACTGTTTGCATCTTATTTTAATTCATTAGGTGCATTTGATGGTGCAAATTTTGTTAATTTAAAATCAAGCGAACGCAGCTGAACCAAAGCGACACCAAGATGACAAGTAAATTACATTTAAGATACTTAGGCATATAAGAAAATTTTATGTCATTACTTTTTTGAAGCGGGAGAGACGTATATCTTATACAATATTAAATAAACTTGGGGTTGTAGGTCCTACGTCACAGACTGTCGTCACCAAGTCAACCTCGTAATCGGCACTGAATTTTTACCGCTTGGGTACCACTACTGCATACAAGGATCCAAAATCAGCGTTATAAACAGGTTGTTAGTGTAGGTGTTACAAAGGACAGCAGTACTGATTTGCGTGAAATTTCTCTGTAGGTTTTTGTTGAATGAACGCCCAGCATTAACCAGGCAGCGTTCCCACTCTTTTGATGAAAGCGCAGCCTCACTCCTCACGTTTGCAGTTTTGGGGGATGACAAACCTGTCGCCTCACACAGCCACCCGTATCATGAGAGCATTAGGCCACGCCGCCGTTCCTTGTATGACAGCTAGGGCCACCCCTCGTCATTTTATTGCCCTATTTGGCGTTTGCTTAATTGTTTTATAGAATTCTAGTGCTTTAGTTGCATGGTCTCCTAAAACACAAGTGACTCGTATTTTTATGGTTTTATTACCAACAGGGTTTGTTCCGGGCTCTGGATAAGTGGTGCAAGGAATACGGCGATATCTTCGGGTAAGAATGATGCCGCAATGAACTTTGAAATAGTTAGGAGGAAATGAGTACCCACAGATCATTTTGTCTCACATGTGCTATATGTATATAACACCAGCGTTGTTCCAAGTGTTTATTGCATCAGATTTTATGAAATATTGTTTAATTGCTAATGTTGACGGGGCGCTGGATGCATAAGCCAAGTCAAGCAGCATTTTGGGGGAGTTTTTCTTGTAGTTTAGGCATCGTGTGCAAATTAATGTCAAAACAAACTTGATTTAATTGAATTTAATTGCCTCATTTTATACTATCTTAAATTAAGAATATATATATTATGATTATAGTGCTTTACATTTTCGTTGTACATTTTTGTTTCTAAACGCATGGCTGCTGTTCTGATACAAAAAGTACAAAGAGGTGACTTATTTTTTGCACAAAATATTGAAGTACATTTCGCCTAGCATAATCGGTGTATTTAACCAGCCACCAAATTAAGTAATTATTCAAGTAAATCTAATGACTAAAATGTGCGGCTTCTATATTAGTGTAAGCTTTAAACGGCACGCTTCTACTTAAGCAATTTGTGTATAATCAAATATTTTGAAACCATTCAGCTGTCCAAATAAGGGTATGTGGCAAATTATATTCGTTTATAGGTTCCTCATAAGAGTATCTTCTCAGGGTTTTCGTGCATCGTCTTTCAGGTTTTACAATGGAGACGTTCCAATGCTTGTTGTGAAAGACCTCGAGTTTCTGAAGTACGTCTTCGTCAAAAACTTCCCCAACTTCACTGATCGTGCCGTAAGTGTTACTCTCGGCGATGATGCTAATACCTACCGATATTTGTCGAGCCCTTTGTAAAGCTAGAAAAAAAGACTCGTCAATACGGACGACTTCGTTGCCCTCAAAATTTGCTCCATTATGTGAGTTATGCATAACAACGAGAAATATGCTTGTATTTACACAATTTGTCCCCGAAACCTTTATCAATAGAGGGTTCTTTTATGTAAGCTTCTATGTAAGACGAACGTACCAATCTCGGTTTTCTGCAGGGAAGATTATCCTCAAACGCGCTCCCCTCTTTTAAGCTGCGAGGAGAGCCAAGTTGGGACAAGGTAAAAAGTGGAAAAAGATATAGAAAGGGATGAGGCGGGCAAAAGTGGAAAGCGCGAAGTGTTTGTCGGCCTTTAACATACTTGTTTAACAAAGGTACGAAATCTACACTAATACGGTTTGTACAAGTGAGTTACACGCTCAGAGGGACATAATATAGTGGAAAAATCGTCACGATAGGTAGAATAAGATAAAACGTGGTAAATTTGTAAAAATAGATGTATGTTTCCAAATAGAAACTTACTGAGCCTAATCAAAAACCTGTAACTGAATAATTTCTAGAAATACGTTAAAAGCGTGGGAGGTGCATTAGTGCGCTAAAATTAGGACTCGGGGCAACAGGCACAAGGCTAAGGTGAAAAAAAAAAAACAAAAAAAAAAAAACGCGAATTATAAGTAACGGAAAAATTGGGCGGGCGCGTTACCGCAACTGCAGCCTTGCGCCTGCTTCACGAGTGGAAACTTTAGGCTCCATCGAACTCCAAGTCTTTCTAATATTGACTGATTTTCGGGTTTTCGATGATGCTTAGCATTTTTATTAGAACAGTATGTTTGTTTCCAATAATTAACAAAAAGTTAATACATTTGAGTTTATATTTTAGATCGTTACGATTAACCAACATATCTCGCCGGCCGTATAACTGACCTGCACAGACCGCATTACTGTAGCATTCACTGCTTTTACTTTAAAAAAATGCGTTAATCTTGAAAAGAAATACCTTATATATGGAAGGACATTCATATAATCGGGGTCCGTGCTAACGAGACATGAGTAGTAATTTCAAGCACTGGTAACACCTTATAATTTTTTTCCTGTCGCTGAATGGGAAGGATATTGGCCCAGGGCAGCACACAATATTGGGGCGATATTCGCATCGCGTCGGGAACGTCATGCGAGTATTGCCGATTTTCCCGTTGTATCGGGAAAATTTGCTGGTACCATTTTGATTCTGCTGATGTCGACAGAATATCTGTTATATTGCGGCGACGCAACCATGATATATATGGTACACGAACCGTGTTTTTTCCTGATTATCGTTTCTGAATCGGCAATAACTGCGCAGTATTATGCATTTTCGGCCGATTCGAAAATTATATTAAAAAACAGCCGGTACCATTTTCCCCCGGCCGATGTCAATACAATATCTGTCTCGAAATTGACTGTGTGGCCGGCTGCTTCTGCGTGCTCCGCGAGGGCGCTTGCCTCCATATCCTTCTTCCGGACATCGTGTCTGTATCACGTAAGCCTCTCTGCTATGTTCTTGCTTTCCCCAACGTATGAGGCCGGGCAATCTTTGCATGGTATGCGGTAGACCAAGCCTTGCGGCCTTTCTTTGGGGGACCGATTCTTCGGGAGGGGGAGGCGATGACCGATTGTTGACACGGGCTTATGAGTCACCGCAATCCCGTAGCGACCGAGGACGCGAGGAAGGGCCTCGCTGGTGCAGCTAATTTAGGACACACAGACGCCAATCGGATGGGGGAATGCTTGGCCCTACGGGTGGATGCCTTAACTTCTCGAGTATCCGAAGAATAAACCGTCGAGTGTAGCCGTTCTTGCGGATATCCGATGTTACGACCTTGATTTCCTCCTGGAGGATCTTTTTTGTTTAGCAGGTGGAGAAGACGCGCCTGAAGGGTGCAGAGGCCATCGACGCTTAATGACACCGGGGGTACTGGGAATCAAACCCCAAGTATCTGCCAGTGGGGGTTGGCTTCCTGTAAAAAGAGAAGCTTAGCGAACTGCCGCTCCTGGTTACCAGTGAATCCAGAATTGAAAGGGAACATTTGTCTTCACGCACGACCGTGAATTGTAGCTACTCATCCACCAAGTTCGGATGCTTTAGAAGACGATGCACCTGGCTGGTTTTAACGACGCAGGAGTTGTCGTAGAAGTAGTTTAGGCTTGAAGGTGTCGAAAGCCTTGCGTTCGATGGCCTTTATTGTGAGCTTTGCCATTGTCACAGATATTGCTGCCCACATGGCTGTGCCGCTGGTTTGTTTGTAGATGCTAAAGGAGAAGTATGTGCTGTTCAGGCAGAACTCTAGCAGTTGGCAGATCTCGTCAACAGATAGGCTCTCTCCGGAAGTTTTTCGTCTGCCGAGAGGGCACTTCCTGCAACGGATACCGCCAAGGGCACTGGGCTGCTGGTGAACAAAGACACCACGTCAAAAGAAAGGAGACACTTGTCGTCACGTAGCTTTAAATCGGAAACAAGCTCTAGATGCGTTTAGAGGAAAAGAATAGTGCTACATTTTTTTCACGAGCCTTGCGTTGTCGTTTTCTATGGCAGTGAACGCACTGATGACTGCGGTCGAAGGGTTTGCTTGCCACACAGCGTTAGTTCCCGAGGTGGCCGCTAGGGAGCGCCCCTCCCCGATCTCCCCCCCCCCCCCAATAGTCCTCTTCACTTTGCGATGTGTCCAGTAATTCCTCCGATGTCACCATGTTTTGAGCACGCACTTTGAGCATGAAATTGAACACGAATACTGTTTCAGCGTTCGGCGCGTAGTAGGCCAAAAAATTTATTCAATTCGAGTGCAGCATCAGTGCTCGGCATGAACTCGGATCCTATCACACGCTTCGCGCAGGACGGGGTGATCCAAATATGGCGGCCACCAGTGTGACTTGAGGGAATTTTAAAGAAATATCTATGCCTCTGCATGTACAAGTCACCCGGTTACTTTCAGCATAAAGCACCGAGTTGTTTCTGGCTTGAAAATCCAATGGGCTTATCGAGGGCTCTTTCAGCACGGTTGCCGCCTCGGCGGCTCCGAGGCGAGAGCGTCGGCCTACGGATCCCCATGTGGCGGGTTCGAATCCCGGCCGAGGTGCCTGCAATCTGATGGAGGTTTATTGCGGTGAAGACGCCGTGTAACCGAGCTTTCGGTTGCACGTCAAAAGATCCCCAGGTGGTCGAAATTAATCCCCAGTCCTCCGCTGGGGCGTGCCAGATGCCCGTCGTTGGTTTGACACGTAAAACCCCCAAATTCGACTTTTTTTTTTCGGCACGGTGATTACCTGCCTCTACTTCGGCGCCGGAAGGTACACAAATTTACTTTTTTTCACGCAGGTAACTATGAGGACGGACGAAATGCACCCAATCGTCGGCCAAAGTTTGATTCACGCAAAGGGCTTCAAGTGGAAAAGCATGCGCTCTTGCGTGACGCCCTGTTTCACCACACTCAAACTCAAGCTGGTGAGTGTGAGGTCACTCGGTCGTATATGCATTCATGCCATCTACGACGAAGAGAAGAAACGACTCTGTTTTCGGTGACTTCCCTTGTAGCAATCCAGAGAAGATCCTGGCTTGCCACAAGTTTGGCATCCTAGATCTCTAACTTAGGCCTAATGTGGTTGTGCTCCAAGGCCTTAGTTAACGCCAGAGTACTTTTTCTTTTGAGTTCCTACGGCTTTTCTCTGACTTGCCACATAATCGCGCAACTGTAATTTCTGAGCCAAAGAAGGCACGCATAAAACGGATAAGCAGCAGTGAAGCCTAAATCAGGCACTTATTTGGACATTTAAGAAAAGTTTCCATATAAAAACCCCACAACATGAAGTGAAGCCCAACTCTGATACTTCTTTTGGCGATTTAAGTTCAAAGATTTTATAGGACAGCATTACTTGTGCACGTGTTTGGAGAATGATGTCAAGTTTAGCTCTACCTTAATTGGCTGCTTCGAGACTTTTTGATGCCCGTTCGTCCACATGCGACTCCTTAGGACGGAGTGCTTTAAGACCTCTTAAAATCTTTTACGATGAGAAAACATACTGGCACGCTGGCGATATCTATCAGTGACCTCGGAAATGTATTTCACTAGAGCGAAGGATTTTTGCGGTATAGCCGAGGTCAATTATACGTAATACCTGCGAAAATGGTCCTTTATAAGATTGGCAAAAAAATTGAAAGCCCCCCCCCCCCCCCCCCCAAAAAAAAAAGAAAAGAAAAGAAAAGAAATTAATGACGCGGTAAAAAAAAAAAAGGAAATATGCGGGACCGCATTGTGTTCCAAGATTTCCCGATGGATGGCGCCAATGCGTTTTCTCGTCGTTAAAGATTTTAAGATATTTCAAAGCAAACAATACTAGCAAATCACAACTGTGTGAATGAGCGTTAAAAACCTAAGTTCCTAGATGAAAAAAACAAATTCTTACCCAAAGAATTGTGCTACCAGGGTTTGTGCATCGAAGTGTTCGGTTACCTTAAAAAAGCCTTTTAAAATCAAAACCTGCAAAAAAAAAAAAAAATCTCTAGGCCACGGTAAAACAACAGGCAGGTGTGTCTGAATGACGAAGCGTCGCCAAAAGACACAGGTGTGGCGAAGATTCACTCGCATTTCTGGCAAACACCTTGAGATGGCGCGTCGTGCCTAGGGACATCTTAATGGGAGTCAGAGGGTTGATGAGAGTCACTCGAGAAACCGTCCTTAGTTGTGCGGAAGCTTACGAGACCACGCGCCGTGAGAACGCGCCTGCGAGCTTCAACGAGCAGTGACCCTACCGAGAAATGCGCGAAATCTGAGTAAACTTTAGCGGCATTGTCTTGGCTAGGCTTGGTCAGGCACCATCTCTATTTTTAAAACGTGCTAGCAAAAGTATAGTTGGCGCACGAAATTATTCACTGTACGACGAGGCTGTAGAGCTTAAGCTGCGGTCACGGGGTGCATCCGGTTTTGTATGCCGGTGAAAGCTGCACCGAATAGATTTCCTGAGCAAAGAGCTGAACACAAAACGAAGAACTCAAAAACGAGTAGAAGAATGACACCGACACGTCGCTGACTCACTCCTTTGTACCTCTCTTTCTGCAGTGTGCATATAAAAAAATGTGACCGTAAAATGTAGGCACGACTAAAGCTGACATACCAAAAAAAAAAAAAAAAAACGCACTTTGCGTTTTTTGCAAGTACCAACACGCTTTGATATGCCGACTCTTTTAGCGCATTATAGGAAACGAACGACTGAACGTTCCAGCAGAATGAACTGACAGATGCTGATTTATCTTCGAAGAATGTGCTTCATGATGTGCGTCGTTACTTCTGAAAGAGTGCATCAAGTGGCGTCAGACGTAAAGGTGTTGGCTAAAGCCTCGGAATAATACACAAAAGACGCTGTGTAACAAACGTCCATTCAAAATGTAAAGTGTGAGGACACTTTTAGTTTCAAAGGAGAAAATAACAATTCAGCGTCAGCGCAGTGTCTGCCTTTTTATTATAGGCAAATTTGCAGTAGTTCTCTTTTATAAAAAAGCAAGACAAAAAAAAACTTTTAGTCTTTTTATATTGGTGAAGAAGGAAGACCAGGGGAAGCTGTACTATGGTGGGAATGAAGTAATGGCCGGCTGCATGTCGGCAAGCCACAGGGGTAGAGGCTGGACAGCTACCGCCATCTATGAGCGACGGTGGCAACCAGACAACCGGCAATCCGGTTGTTTGCTTGCCGCCGTCGCTCATAGATGGCGGTAGCTGTGCAGAGTTTCGTGCAACGTTACTACAACAATCAGCTGGGAAACTCGCCGTCGAAACCTGGGCCGCTGGCGTCCACCGAGACCGAGCTAAATGCGACATCAGCGCCGCTCTTTATCGTTTGTCTGTACTGTGGTCAGCTTGAGCTTTTTGAAAGCCTGTTTTTGCGTAAAAACAAACGGAAAAGACACTTTTTGTATGACATTTATTGGAGTTTAGTACGAAAAGAGGGGCGCGTTATGTTTTTAAGATCTTTAGTTTGCAGGGTTTTGCGGCACAATTAATATTGTTTTTATACAACCATGCCTCAGCGGGGCTTTCAGGTAGCGCGTCCCGACCTAGGTACCTAGGCGCCGTGGAGACAGGGGTGGTACCCCTGTAACCTCTTTCGCTGTATCTGTTCTTAAAGCCAAAATAGAAGTCACGTGCAGTTCCTCGAGTGGCCGCTGCGGGAGAAATGGTGGGGTTGTGTTCGTCATTAGCTCGGTGCTCGGAGACAGATTGGGGCCACTCTTTCAAAGCTGTCTCTATGGGAGTTTCCCAACTGAGTGTTTTAGTAACGTCGGTTTCGTGTCATCATTTGTTTGCTGACGAACACGATACTGGTGAGATCGTTGTGATAGGACAAAAAGACAGACGACCAAGATTGTGCTTCCAATGTCCGATTCCCACCAGAGCAATAAACAGAAACAAACGACAGCGACAAACGTTAAACCAGCCTTTCCAATTGCGAGAGGCTGGTTTAACGCTTGTCGCTGTCGTTTGTAGAAGCCTTTCCAAAGGAGGCTATGCTCAAACACGAGCATCATGCACGCGAGGGTATCTTTGGCAAACTTGCAAATGCTCGTTCTTAACTCACGAGCACTGAAGGACTAAACGCCTGATAAAGGAACCGTCGCGAGCGTGCTGCATGTGTTTGAGGCTTGTCGCTGTCGTTTGTTTTTGTTTGTCGCTTCAGTGGGACTCGGGTAGAGCACAGCTTTGAGCAGCTTAAGATGCGCAGGGCTTGGCAGTCTTGAGCTTCTTATTGTCGCTCTGTTGATAGTGAGGTTGCAACAATATCTGAGAAGAACGCCGAGGAATAAGTCAAAACGCAAGAAGAGCTAACGTGGTAGGTCATATCCTGCGTTTTTAAAGATGTGAGACACCTAAGAAGAGCTATACGATTCAAGAATATCAAGATGAGCGCCATATTGACACACCATGAAAACGTAAGAAGAAACGGTTGATTATGTTTTCGCATTTGTTTTCGCAGATGTTGGATCACATCGCTGAAGTTAGCGACGTGTTCATGGACGTACTCGGCAAGAAAGCCGACCTTAGCAAAGAGATAAACGTGCGGGAGACAATGCAGGGTCTCACGATGGACTACCTCGGTCGGGCGGCGTTCGGACTCGACACCAGCTTTCAGAGGGACTTGAACAACCCATTTCTTGTTACGGCCAAGCGAACGCTGAGGGAAATTATGACCGGACCCTTTCACATGTTGGCACGTAAGCTCGCCTTTTTCACGTATCTTTTCAAGATTGAGCTTCGAATGCTCCGGCCAGTTTGTTGCCGTATTGCTTGATGTTTTCAACCAGCTACACTTCGAGAGCTATAGTCTGGCAACCGTTACCTAGCTATGATCGGAGATTTTTTATACTTCGTTTCTTTTGTTCTCCTTCTCCAGGGATTACTATCGTTGTACTTGTCCAAGTCACTTGCACCGTTGCAAAGGTAGAGTTAAATATAATTAAGGATTACGTAATGTGTGTGCTACACATGATCATGTGATAGTCGTACGCACCAGCAGCAGTACCCAATCGAAACAACAAGCGCCATCGAATGTACGTGAACGGCGAACCCAGTGAAGTATTTGAAGTATTTAACGAGCCAGAAATTTTCAACCGGGGTGTTTCATCTTGTAAACGAGAGCAGCGGTACGCGATAAAAATGGGACTGAACTCAAGTGTATTGTTTCGTAAGAGTCGCTACAATTTCTAACGCGTACATCGCGTAATTAGGCATCGTACGCGGTCTTCGGTGTAAGTTTCGTGAGTCAACGTGAAAGGCTATAGCAGTAAGGATAGCAAACTGGTGCCATAAACAGGTCGCTGTGGAATATCGAGTGATCTAAGTATCCCAGTGGATTCACTGGAGTCGCTTCGATCGACTCCGACGAACTATACCGAGCGGTAAGCTTCGACGAACCCAATATTGTGATTTCTGGTTTTTCCGTCGACATTTGTGTAACATTTATGAGAAAATGAATGCTGGTTTTCACTTGATATCTCCATAAGTGTCTTGTCTTCGAACTGCTAACCATTGCCCCAACTCGCTGCTTCGAAGCATGACCAAACGGGAAGGACAACACCGACCAAACGCATGATTGATACCGACCAGAAAAGAAAAATATGCTGCTTGAGACGACGAGGTTTCCATGGAGACGCGCATGCGCATAATGGAGCAGTTCATCAAGGCACTCTGGACCTCGCTGGACTGTTGTGGTTCAGGCTCTTTGGGGCGCGATGTGGCGCGACGTAGTAGCCGACGAATGTCGTTTTACGCTGGCGCGCGTTGCGTTCGTCCACGTTAGAGTATGAACAGCCCTTAAGGTCGAGTGTGTTTTTGAGTTGTGGTGAAATAAAGTATAGGAACATCAGAATTAAAAGGATTCAACACATAATGCTAAAAATCAATGTTTTATAACACCACTCGTGATTTGTGAAATGAAATAATTGTTTAAAGTGTTTCCAGTTTGGCTATGAATGCCGGGTTTGAGGAAATCTGATTTCCCTGAAATATCACAATAACTAGACTAAAGTGAAGTTCAAAAGGAAGCTTTTGAATGAAAAATAACATTCTTCATAATTGAAAAAAGAAAGAAAAAAAGTGAAAGCCGTTTACAACTCCCTGTAACGCCGAATAGGAGCGCAGCTCTTGAGGAGGATGAGGGAAGGGTACTGAGGGGAGGGTAGACGCCTCCTTGTCCTCCTCCTCCTTATTCTCCTCTTCCTCCCCTCATTCTTTATTATGCTCCGGGGGTTACTTGACCTAGGGGAGGGGGTCACGTGACCTCGGGGGGGGGGGGGGGGGGGGGTCACGTGACTTCGGGGTTCGGGGAGGGGGCGACGTGACCTCGGGGGTCACGTGACCCCCGGGTCGCCGTAACCTTGGTTACGGCGACGGCGACGGCGACGCCGCTCAAGCCGGAAACGGGCGCCTAAGAGCTGCGCTCTAAAATAACGGCAATGATACACGTTTATCTTTTACTTGCAGTCGTTATTAATACCCTATTGAAAATTCTCATTTGTATGAGAAAATTCTGTGTCCAATAAACACATATGAATCATACAAGATATATAAGAACATATAAGAACCGTATAAGAACCATATAAGAACTATATAAGAACTATATAAGATATATGAGAACATATAATCACCATATAAGAAACTAGTGGGAAGTTTCTTATAAGTTTCTTATGGGGTTCTTATATATCTTATATGATTCTTATATAGTTCTCATAGAATTCTTATATGGTTCGTATATGTTCTTATATGTTCTTATATATCTTGTATGATTCATATGTGTTTATTGGACACAAGAAATTTCTCATACAAATGATTTTTTTTACTAGGTATAAAGGGATCATGAAACGATATCGGCTTGGAAGGTTCATGATATTACAGAGGCGTACTGGTCCCTGTCTCGCCCAAGTATGCTCGCACAGACCGCCATAGATTAAGAATCTTCTTTGTCGCGGTAATGCGAGGATGAAAGGCGGACTATTTCTTTCAGTTTTGCTTTCGAAAAGCTTGATGGCGTAATTGTGGGATCGAAACCACCAGCCTGAGGACAGTCGAGCGCGGCTGATGGATTGAACATGAGAACTGTGTGAGCACTAGACTTCGGCTCTTAACAATCAATGCCTCGGCGGACACTTGGGTAGTGGCTCGTGTCGAACCACTGCGGGGATGTGAATAGCCATACTTTAAGAATGCCCAGAGCTATGTCTTCTACTTCGCCGACCGCAGCGCGTGGCTATGATTAGCGTTGGCGACATAGGATAGGAGCCAGGCCATGGGGCCACTTGTTCTGGCTCCGAGTTGGGGGGATGAACGATGCTTATATTTGTCGAATTTATCGGCCGCCCACCACTGGCTAGAAAAAAAACAAAAAAACTAAGGAAAGTTTTGTTTGGTCATTAACGTTAGGTAGTGACTCGTAGTAGTATATAACTAAAGTAGAAAAAATGTTTCATGGCCCCTTTAATCTGTGATGATATTAGCGTACATTTATTTTGTGACTGCTCGCAGCTGAGCTGGTTGGTGATTCATACTTCTGAAAGACGCGAGATGAACGTAGGAAGATACACGAACAAAGAAAGAAAGAGAGAGAGAGAGAGCGAGAGAAAATGACAATTAAACTGCTGGATTAGCAACCATTTACTGACGATAAACTTCTTCCACACCCATCAGTCCCGAGACATGAAACTCCGTATTCGTCGTCTGCTTTATAATTATTAGTTCGTATTTTCCTCTTGGTATTTATATTTGTCCTCTTTTCTCTCTCGCTTTTTGTTTTTCTTTCTATGTTCAGGCGGTTCAGCTGGCATCTTTCAGAAGTAGTACACTTATATTTCAGCGTCTTGACAAGAGATGTGATGGAAGTGCGCTGCATACCGCATCCATAATTGCGCTTTGTCATTTGAAAGGACAAGTTTTGTCTTGCAATTTGTGACTTGCCTCGACATTCCAGAAAGCACAACGTCACTCGGCGTACTGGCTGCTCCGATCTTTTGGCTGAACCGGATATTTGGGACCTTCGCGTTTCTCAGGTACTCGGAAGAAACGGCAAAGGTGATCGAGCTTCGCAGGAAAAATCCAGAGGTTGGTTCGTCTGCTTAATATTTTAATATAGTGTCTACGAATATTGCCAAGACGATCATCTTTGCAAGAAATTTCGTGAAAGCTGCAGAGACTTCCAGGAGGTGTCGTTTTAAGAAGTTGAACCGAGCTATGCTTGCTATTGCTTCTTTTTGTTTTCTTAGCTGATTTCGCACAAAATGAAAAGTAAACACACAGACACAGACACACGCACGCACACAAACACACCACAGACACCACACACACACCACACACACCACACACACCACACACACGCCACACACACGCCACACACACGCCACACACACGTCACACACACTCCACACACACGCCACACACACGCCACACACACCACACACACGCCACACACACCACACACACACCACACACACCACACACACCACACACACCACACACACACACACACACACAAATTAAACTTGTTTTGATCTTAAAGCTTCCTGGAAAGCAGAGTTTGTGTCGTTGGCGCATTTTGCGTGGGTTATTATTTTTGTCGTGTTGTGATACGGGGGGCTTCGGATAGTTTCGGAAGCGTTGTACGCACGACACACTCATCTGCTGCCCGGGAAGATCAGAGTGATTGTTAAAGGGGTCATGAAACAATTTTTCAACTTTTTCCTGTTTAGTTTTTCTCCTCAACTCGCAAATCGTGCATTGTTCCAAATAGTTCAAGAAGACCGAAGGGAGGGAGTCCTTTCTTGCTCGGACCTTCGTTTGTGAACCCGGACACAGCCATTCTCCTCCTAGAAGATTAGCCCGTCGCTGACAACTCGAACAAAAGTTGCTTTCCCCAGTCCGTTCACCCAAAACCTGACAGTGCTCTGGAAGCTACGTGCTCGTTGGGCCAGCCAGACTTCTGCCACGCAATCACGCTCCCCCACGCATACCCACGCGCAAGGGGAATGAGGTCACGTGATGAAAGGGAGGTTTGTGATGGGAGGGAATAAGTGAGGTCCGGTGTCGTGTGACGAGCGTTTGGGCCTAGTGACGCGCTTTAGGTACCGCGGATGTATCGCAGTGAAAAGGCAGAGAGCTTTCCAAGGGAAGGAGGTACAAAATAGTCCTCTGTGTTTTCAAACTTTCGCACTGAAAGTCAGGCTTTTGACTTTCTACCATCTGTCTTTTGGCCCACTAAACGATATGCTATTAGTAAAATCCCAACCTAAATTCATTCATCCCACCCCAAAATTCGTTTCAAGGGCCCTTTGTTGATTGAGCTTGCTGCACGCGCCTACGGTCGCCTACTACCATGGGATATACCGCGATTCATAATTAGTCCATCTGCCTGCGCTCCCAAATGCCCCTTCTTCATGGCACCAAGCGGAGGACTCGGCTCACGTCTCGCTGTGCCGCTCAGCATACGTAAAGCTACCCTCGGCATGCTTAAAATGATTAAAAATGCAATAGGCTGAGCATATGCGAGTTCTGACAAATTTCCAATATAGCGTAGGTTGCGCTTGAAGTTGGGCGCTTTGATTTTCCCTATTTCTTTATAGTGAATTTTTTATTAAAATTGCGATGATATACCAGGTTCATCACGAAAAGTGGACAAATTCGATATTCAGAACCCTACGCGTCGCAAAAAACAAGCAAACAAACAAAAAAACTATGTTTTTCCACTCTGGTGAAGAAGAAAGAGCAGGGGAGCTGTAGTTTCTGTTCTCGGCGGTGGCTTTCCAGGCGAGCGATTTGCCCTTTTTTCGCAAGGGAATCTGAAGCGCTCGACCCAGTGGAACTTTAGGCAATAGCGGCCTCGCGGCGGTTACGGAACCATTCCCGCTGCTGCGCACTTCGCCGCTCATTCCGTTCCCGCTCTTCTTCCTCCGAAGAAATGTTGCCGCGATCTATGAGCGACGGCGACAAGCAGACAACCGGCAAACACAACACTCTGGATAGCTACCGCCATCTATGAGCGACGGCGGCAACCAGAGTTTTGCGTCGACATTTCTTTGCGGGGGACACGATCCTGGGGAAACTAGCCCTTAACAGCTCCGCTGTAAAAAGGCTTGTGTCGTTTTGGTCCTTGGCGATGGGCCTATTCAGGGAAATCATTAAGGGGGCACTGACACCCCAAGGGTCGTATTTTTTGATTGTCTATAACGATGCAAGTTTTAGTCACAGACAAGCAAAAAAAAAAAAATAAAATAAAAATAAAAATCCCCACGCGCTTGCGCGCCTTTTTATTTTTTTGCGTTCTCCTCTGACGCTCCTCACCTCCTCGCTTCTTTTGATTGGTGACGTCAAGAATTAGGAAATTTAAAAGCTTTGTAGGCGGCGTTTTAATAACATTTAATAATGGTAATCGGAAAACATGTTTTTTTTTTAACACAATCGCCAACGCACTACGGCCCTTCTTTTCGAAATACCGAAAATCGGAGTCCGGTGTGATGTCGTCTCCTAGATTTGTATCCTCCCTTAGAAAACATGCTGCCTAGGCAGGCTAGGGAGCCTTCATGTGCGCTTTTCGGTCCGCCGGCACCCTCATCTGCCGCTCCTTTCCTCCTCGCTTAGAGTCGCGATGGCAACGGCACGGAGTTGCGAAAGAAAGTGGACTCTCAGGATTCCGCAATATTTGACGTCAACGCACCGCCGCGGATCGCGCGGGAACCTCGAATTCGACATTTGGAAATTGTTTTTTTTACTTCACAAATACTGAATTCCAAAGTTTTGATGCGTGCCGGCATCGTTTTGAGTTGTTTCGGATAATGAAAAAAAAAATGATTTTGATGTGTCATTGCCCCTCTAAAGTCCGGGATAATTAACTTGTAATTTATTTTTGCGTAATTAATTTATTTAATATTGTGTTTAAGGCCATTGTTTCAATTAGAAACTTGTTCAGCATATGGGGGGTTCGGCTTTTTGAAAAACCGCACAAATTCGACGGGTTTCTAGGTTTTGGTTTGCAATCGAAGCGCATCTCGGCCCCGACGGCACCGCACCCCGTAGAGAAATAGTGCAACCAGCCTCTGCTGCGTTGCGCGAGGACCGCGCAGCAGAGGTTGGTGGCACTATTTCTCCACGGGGCTGATCTTCCAACATCTTATCTCTTTTTGTTCAGGAATGTTTGCTGATAGGCAAACCCACAACTAACCTTCAAAAGTAATTTGTAATTTGAGTAAAAGTTACTCGGGAAAAGTAATGAAAGCAAACTACTAATTACAGCAATAAAAATATAATTGAAAGTTACTAAGCTACTCAGAAAAGTAGTTAAACTACAGTAACTTGAGTAGAGCAGCTCAACTACGTACAAGTCTGGCATGCAGGGAAGTTAGGCGCACGTGTGTTGCCCGTCTCAGCCACTGGGGAGCAGGACCGCGGGCGCAGAGATTAGCTCCGATAAGAAATCGAAATTTAGAAACGCGTCCAAATTGAGTGTTTTTACGGAACGCCGTGATATACCATATCTGCAATATATCCTTCTAAAAATATTTGATTCGGTAGTTTTCGACGACGCTGAGCAAGTTTCTAATTAGAACCATATGTCTATTATCATTATTTATAAAGTTAATTATGAATTAATTTGCCGACTGATTGTTACGGTGAGCCCCCCATACTATGTCCCTCTGGCTGTATAACTCACCTGTACAGACCACATTAGTGTAACTTTCATGGATTTTAAAAATAAATTTGTTAAGTTAAAAAAAAAACAAAAAAACCTGGATATATATACATCGTTGATGCTTTTTTTAATGCTCGTTAACCCCTCTCCTGCAAAAATGCCCCATGGCAAAGCATGCTTATTTCTAAAATATGTAAATAGGTAATATGATAATAATGCCTAATAAAATAATGATTAAAATAATTGTTATGACCAAATATTCCTTCTATATGATTCGCTTACTTATAAATTACCTGCTAGTGTCTTCTATAATTAACGCTGCCTTGGCTTTGGCTACGTTTGTTTTTTCTTTAGCTAATTGCACGTATAAGGACTTTTCTTGAGAATGTTGGCAACTTGATTCCACGTTAATATATCAGGTTTGTTGTTTTTTTCGCCATGAGCCTACTATTTGCAATAGGTGAGCGCTCTTGTCAAGCCTTCATTTGATTTCGACGTCTTGGCTCCATTTGATCATGTGGTTTTTCTAAAGGCTGATGAATTGTATTGGTATGCTAAAATAATAATACAAAAAGCAGCAACAAAGATGAAGTATGTAAATTACGTTTATGTTGTAATTACTATTGCTTTGCCATATGTGTCACGCTGGGATATTCCGGAGTCCGAGAAAGAAACAGGCATATGATGATTGAGGATACATTCAAGGGGTTGTTTGTCCTAATTTAATAATTTTTCTCCATACCACCCGATAGTTACGAAAGAACGACCTTCTCCAGAATCTCATCGATGCTGAATATGAGGACCAGGCGACAACGCAGACATCCTCGGATAAAACTACAAACGGAAGCGCAAAAGGTACACGGGGCGAGGTCTTATCTGTTTTACTACACCATTAAGGCCGCTTTAGACACGTACGTTTGACTCTGCTGAGTATACCGAGTGAGCTGTGATTTCTTGTAACCGCTGGCATGCTGGCACCCCATATATACGTATATATATGCGTAGGGTGGGGGAGGGGGGGGGGGGGGAGTGTTCAGTATGGGGTATTCAGCAGTTGAACTAAAACTATTTTCTGACAGGGCGGTCGCTCACTAAGGAACCTCACAGGCGCGATTTTATAGACTTTAAGACGTCGCAAGGTAATTAGAATGACATGGTTAACACTCAAAAAAGGGATAAAGCAACAAAAATACTAGAAACGGGAATACACAGGCTAACGAAAATAAGTCCGGCAAGTCCACTACTCTAAGCCCAAGAGCCACTTCGATGTTTGACCTGCGCCCGCTTGTCTTGGCTTGACTCGCTCGAATCACAGTCACTCACAAAGTCCGTCGGTCGGTTAAACCAAAACCCATGTAAGGACAGGGCGGGCAGTCCTGGGAGTGCCTCTGGTATCGTAATAAGAATCAAATAAAATGTTCACTTCTGGCGTTTTTGTAGGCACTACAGTTCAGAGCATCGTTGTTCAGAGTTTAGCAGAATCGAAGGTGCGGCAAGGTTTTTCCTACACCACCCGGCAGCGCTTCGTGGTTTCCGTCAGTTGTCGCTACCTTGCTCTGTCATCTGCGCCGCTGGCCTCTCCGAAGCCGAGGGCTTGTTCCAAAATGCTCTTTGAGGAGCCCTGCCTGGTGCGTTCAAGGAGGCTTATTGAAAACGTGCTCGAGGGTCTGCTCGCCTAGCCGCACATACGACAGGCCGGGTCGTCCCCAAAAAGTTTGTGCCTCCGCGTCTGTGTGAGGAGGGAGCCCGTTGGTGCTTGGAAAAGAAGCGCGCTGGCCCTGGCACCACGGTACTTGCGGTACGGTGCCAGTTTGCTTTTGTTTCCATTGTAGAGTAGGAGCCTCTCCTTCTTTTGTGCCGACCTCTGTCATTGTTCTACATCAGTCCCTCTTACCTCCGATCACATATCCTTTGCCCACTCTCTTTCAGGGAGGCTCTAGTTAGCGTGGGCGCCACTGATAGATCGGGGATCGCGGGATATAGTCGCCATTTAATTGCAAAGTTTTGCTGGGAGTCCCCGGGGCAAAGGGCCGTTTTATTTCCTAACTCAGGTCATAAGAGCCTATTAATGTGCTTGAATAATTTGCGCAAGGTATAAATGATTACTTTTCAATCGCCACCAGCTTTGTTCCGATAAGTTAAGTATTTGCTTAACGCAAAAAATGGTAAACTCCGCCATCTTGGACGTTGCTGCTTGTCTGGCAACCCTGCTTTTTCCTCTAGACGTTTGCGATTCCCGGAGAGAGACGGAATCGAAAAAGGCTATGCCAAGGCGTTCATTGCTTGGAATGGGAGGCGAGAGGAGGAAAGGCACATGGGGCGACAGAGCGGGTGTCTGCTCTCGTTCAGGCGACACTGGCGCATATCCTTTCCCAATTCTCTCCGTCAGGCGCCGCCATTAGATTGCAAACGCTTTCCAGGATTTGAGTTGCGCCCACCCTAAGTAGAGCCTCCCTGCTTTCGTTCCGTTGTAGCCTGCTGCCTCGCTGTGGTGCCGCGATTAAATGTGGTAACTGTAGCCATACTTGTTCTTATCCAGTTTTGTTTCCCTCTTAAGCTGGATGTGGTAGAACATTTTCAGACCCTGGCTGTCGTGCGGGAAGAGTTTGAGCCTTTTCATGACTTCTCTGATTTGGTGCGCGGGCGAGGCAATAGATGGCGCCTCTGTGTCAGTGTGTTAAGCTTTTACAAGCAAAGACAACGCACTCGCTCACGATCGGGTGCAAATTCGGGGACCAGCCTTACGCGGTGATACACTTTTTTGCGGGGCAATAATTTCCGGTCGTAATTACTTCCGGCATAAAAAACTGAGTAAAAAAACAACAACAAAAAAAGAAAACGATGCGAAGGTTGTTTTACATTTCCTCCATTTGACAGGTTTTCATAAGGGCAGGACGTTATCATCCGAAGAAGTAATCCAGAACAGCACAATCCTGTTCGTTGCAGGGTGAGTTTGATTTGCTTGATTTTATTTGATTTTAGTTTGATTAACGCGCCTTTTTTGAGTCATCGTGATTGATGACACCGAGCGAGCTTTTAGATTAGAACCATGCCTTCATTTTTTTTTGTAATTATAAGGGAATGAAATATTTGTTGGTAATTATCCGAAGAATCGTGACGATTACTTCCCTCTCCTTCCCCATTTCCCCGTCTTTATTTTGCTTCCCTGGCCGTATAACTCACTTGCACAGATAGAAAGGATGTGACGTTCAGGTATATTATTGGTTTGTATCTGGACTAAAAAAAAAAAAAAAAAAAACATTTTGCAGATGTAAACGTTTTAGATGTTTGTGTTACCCTATTGAAAATTCCATCAAGGTACGTAATTTGGGACACTGACTGCCAGTCAGCAGCCTTGGTGGAACGTGATGGACCATCAAACGTCATCTGATGGTCCATCAGATGACGTCTGACCGCCACTGCCAAGAGAATTTCATCAACAAGGGTGGCATTTATATAAGAGTAAAGCTATACGCACTCATAAATATCGCCAAATGCCTCGATAAAACAAAATGTTCGAGAAAAAAAAAAGAAAAAAAAAAGCAGGACCACCGTGGATCGACCCGCGACCACTTGCGTACAAATCGGACACCGTAACCGCTATGCTACGCAGTTTCGTAGAGAACTCGAGTTCACCATCGGTTTTATACGAGATGCTTCGGTTCCAAATGCAGTTAAGACTTTAGCATGTCATGCAAAGCACTCGTACATCACTCGCCGTACTTCAGTTCTACTCACCTGCCATGTAGAGTATACTTTCGCGCCGTAGAACGATCCTTTTGTTCGCGCGTCTCCGACCCAGTAGACCTGGTACACCTTGTCGTCTTCAACTACACCGCTAAAGTCCCTTACATCGTCGGAACTCACAACAGGCTGGGTCTTGTCGAGTAGAAATTCTACTAAAACATAAAACACTGTAGAGCCCGGGCAGGATCGACAGGTTGGAGCAAGCGGGCAAACAAAACGAGTCGAGAGCGATCGTTCATGAAAGCTCGGCGAAGCCTCTATGGGCGAACCGAAGTCAGCGAAGTGGCGTTTTCGGCGTTCCGGCGGGCTTCTGATCAAGGTTGTCGGTCGGCTGCGTGTCATATCTCTAACATCAGCGGTTTTATGGGCTCACGTCCTGAAATCGTTTTCTTGTGCATAGTCTATTTTTCGTATTCATAGATTTGAAGAAATACTGGTATCCGAACGAACTTTACGTCCTTTGACCGTATGTCTGTCTGCACGTCAAAGCTTTTTGACGTACAGTCAGAGCCAATCGATGTACACTCAGAATCGCCACCAAGACATCTTGATGGCATTTCGCGGCGGCCGACTGCCACCAGGAAACCATCAGAAAGCCGACAAGTGGAGTCTGACTGGAGTTTGACTGTCGGTCAGAGTAACTTGTTGGCCAATCAGACATGTTTGACGTACAGTTAGGCACAGTCAGCGGTCCACTAGAAAACATTGACCGCCAAGCAGGGTTACATTGATGGATTTTTCCTTCGGGTTAATTTCCAGTTTGTCGCTCACAGGTTTGAAACAACAGCAGCGGCGTTGTCTTTTCTTACGTTCGCTCTCGGCAAGCACCAGGACGTGCAAGATAAGGTTCGACACGAAGTACAAGCGGTTCTCAACAACCATGTACGTTTTATTTCCTTACGAATGATATGTTTATATATCTTTTATCTATGTTCTGAAACTCTGCTTGTTTTGGAAGGCTTGTCTGGCGAAGCCTACGCGAAGAGCAAATCGCCTGCTTTTTGGGAAGAAGTTGCAGTGACGTCACAACGACGCCGCGCTCTGATTGGCTTTGATTGAAAGGATAGGAGGGTAGACCTAAATTCTAGATCCCTTGAAAAGTACCGACGCGTGTGATTTCCGTCACTCACTCGGGAACAAGGGACCGAACTGGTCTCGAAACGTTGGGTTACTGTTTATTAAACAATTGGTTACAGTATTATTTTTTCGCGTTAAGGCTGGTAAGGTCTGTATGAGTAATACTGACTTTCTTACCTTTTTTTAAATCTGGAAGTTGGAAAATAACATTTGAGCGCACATGTGCCGCATATTTATACGCAGTTGTTAACCGCTAATTATATATAATTGGTGTACGCTAATGATTTTGTAGAATTTGAATAATGAATGTATTGGATGAGTGTAAGAAACATTTGCATATGTCCTGTTTCCTTCTTGTAGTAGATGTATTAAGATTTTGAAAGGATGTATTCCCTACCTCAAAACCTAACGTAACTTTTCGCTATTTGGATTATAGAACAAGAAATCAAAGGGGATTTTTACTAAAAGCTGAAATTCAAATTGATGACAAAGGAAGAATTTCTGAAAACCTGAAATCCAGATAAAATCCAAAGTTCCAAGTTCCATAGTCTACATTGCGAAAAGGTCGCTGTTGGAATGGGGCTGCCCTAAGCTAAGTTGCAGTGCCAGAAATTAGAATAAATCAACTAATTACATAAAACCTATATTAGAGTTCTTGGGAGAACATGTCTATTTTTGTTTAAAATTCCTAAATATTTAATAAACTTAGAACAAATATATTTAATATAATTATTACATACCATATCATATGAAAAAGTGACACCAAGTGTTTAATTCTGCATACAAACTGAATGTAAAAACACACGAAACTAAGGGAACTACAAAGTTTGTTATTTAAAGCACGTGAACAAAACTTGGCACTTTTTGATTTTTATTACGTTAATATGGAAGCCGTTTATCTCAGCCGACAATTTCATTTTGAAAAAAAAAATGTTAGCTTTGTTTATAAAACTATTCTCGCGTGTGTCCGAAAAAAAAAATGCTTGTGTCATCCGGATAGGTGACATAGTTCCAGCTGGAATCAATTTTTACAATATTATTAATCTATAGCAGATAAAGGAGTGGTCGAAGGATACTACCCTGCAGAACGCCTGATGCAATATTTAAGGGAGATAATTTATGTTTATCAATTTGTTCGAACTGGAAACGATATTGTTAGTATGACCTGAAAAGCACAAGTGGAAGATCTCGGATGCCACAGCGACCTTTTTATCAAGCAAAATGAATTGATTAATACAATCAAATGCTTTGTCTCAAATGTCTGACGATATTCCTAGAGTTAAAACATATCTTCTAAATATTTAAGTACAAATTTGTTTTTGAGTTCGTAATGTTGTTTCGGTTGATCTATGCTTCCGGAAGCCGAATTGGCACTCCGTAGTAAGGCAGTATTTATCGCAAAAATTCACAATAAGAGGGGGAATTATTTTTTCTAGACTTTTTGAAAACTCTGGCAGTATGGGTATAGGGCTGTAGCTTCATAATTTGTTTTAATTTACAGCTTTGAGAAGGGCTGAAACTTCGACTACGTGTATTTTTTTTTAGGGAGAACACCGCGAGATAATGCAAGGTTGCAGATGTACGTTAGACATGGAGCAATAACAAAACCTTAACAAAACATTGTTAAATATGTTAGAGCCTTGACTGTGTAGATCTTCCATTTTAGTTGGCTCAAGGAACTCACAAAAAACACCATTTATTATTTTCCTTAATATATCAGCCTTTTTTAGACACTCGCGACCAAGTAGACAGGAAAAGTAGACTTTTAAGAGCTTCGAATGTCGTTAACATTTTTGTTTCTATATTTTTAAACTGTACTATTACTATTAAATAGCGCGTTGCGATATTTTTTTTAATAAAGTTTATATTTTCAACCTGTCTTTCTCAAAAGCACTGGGGTCATTCATGTCTCTCCTCCCTTTCTGGCACGTTTAGCAGTCTTATTTTGAAAGCAGTATTTATAAACTTGTTTGAACTTTTTATTTGAACGTGACATTAGCAGTATCTACGTCGACTGAATCGAATATATCATCCCAATCTGAGAAAATTATTTTTGTACAAATGCGTCCAGCGTAAGTGGTGTTGTGTTTGGAAATGTTATAGCACTATCCCGTTTGCATGTGGCTTGTTCCTTGTCGACAAATATAAATACGGGCAAATGGTACCTAATCTTGGAACTTATTAGGCCAGCCTTAACCTTTTCCTTTTCATATTTTCTAATAAAAACATAAAGCTATGTTGACGTTGAAAGCGTAGTACGTGGGGGGGGGGGGGGGGGGGGGCGGGGGATCAGTCATGTTCAGAAAAAGTATTTGTCTTTAATAACTAGAGCCCTGCATGGACAACAGTTTGATCATCCGCATCCGATCCGCATCCGCAGACTTTGTATCCGCAGACTTTGTATCCGCATCCAAACCGCATCCTCAAAATTAGGAAGTGCATTACACCCTCAATCCACGCATTCATTTTAAATAATAAAAGCAAGCATGAAAAAAAAAATAACAAAAACAACATCTGGATGGTATCCTATAGGCTGTCTGCTCACCTTTGTAAAACGTACCCTTTTGGCCGATTACGGTGAAAGCAATTTTATCGCATTTCGTTTTATCGTATATATAAAATAAGCGATCATCCTTCCTGAGAAACTTCGCAACGCTGGAAAGGCATCGCAAAAATAAGATCGTCTTGGGAGTCCGTGACACTGACACTCTGTCCAGAAGATGCGTTTGAAAGGAAGGAAATTTGAATATTTGTTTTCCTTTTTGCTGTGTAAAACCCACTTCAAGCATATATATATATTATAAGCATAAAAATTAACAAATGACAGACTAATGACATTGTGTAATTTTATTTTGACAAGACAAGAAAAAAGGTGGGAAAGAATGGCGCTCACTTGGCACAGCAAAGTACTCGTGTGTATGTGATAATGCGCAAGTGAACCACTGGAAAAATTTCAAAACATTCAATAACAGGAACACCTCCTGTTGGTTTCAATTTTAAAAACGAAACCTAAACTGCATGCTCGAACCATGTACTTAAAGACAACTCAGTGTCAACTGTCGAGAAATAGAAAACGTACACACACGCAACGTTTCACCTGCCAAGGTTGTTGTTAAAAAAATATCGTTAACGTGGACGAATTTAGACTGGTTTTACTCTCTTAAATTAATACCCGCTAATGAGAAGTCTTTCTCCGTTAAGGAACTGGATGCTTGGATAGCGCGCACGAACTGCGCTACAAGAATAAAGTGCGGAAACTGGCACTAGTTCCAGCACTCTAGAGGATCGAAATCAGTCTCCTCCATATAATTATAAGCGAAGAAGCCCATTGTAGGCGTCTAATTTCTTGTGGCTTGTACGTTTTGGGGTCTTGTTTGTCCAAAGAACGTTTTCCGCTTTTTCCCTGCCACACAAGGACACGCTTTTCTGGACAACGGGTACTCCCACCTTCTTCAGTTTTTCTAGGTCAGCATGGTTGGCGATAGAGAAGGTTCTCAACCGATCTTTGGTTAGAATCAAAGCTTTCTTGCCGTAGAGCCCAATTTTCCCACGAATTTGCATCCTGTTTTCTACGCGAGTAGTTTGCCGCCGCAATGCATTCGATGATGCACTTCTCAGTGTCACCCAAGCATCCAGTCTACAGTGTGCGTTCTCACATGTTTATGGGCCTCCTCGGCTGATATGTAGATCCGGACACGCAGATATCCGCATCTGATGCGCATTTTCAGCGCCTGGCATTCGCATCCGTCAGTTTACTGTGGATTTCCGCGGATGATCCGCGGGTAATCCGCGGATATGCGGAGGCTCTATTATAAATATTAACCAATTAAGTGTTTGGGGCAGCTTTAAAAAAAATATTTATATCATTACCAAGAAAAAGAAAACATTTGATTTCGTTCGCAAACTTCAATGATGTTTATATAAAAAAAATCGAACCACGTCGCCGTTTATAGATGTAAAAGTAGTATATACATCTGAAATTCAGTAAAAAAATCTTGAAACATTTTGCTTCAAAATATCACAATTTCATCTTAGCAATTTTTTTGCTCCAGAGAAATCCTATCAACTGCCTAACGATAATGAGATTCGAAGAGCTCTCCCCTTCCAGAGTTTCTTAAGTTGTTAGTGCGTGCATTGTAGAGTGTAAAATATTTTTCGCCGAATAAAACCCGTCCTCGGGGGACGAAGACTGTCTCAGAATTTGGAGTCTAAGAGTAGAGGAATGAAATTTGGCACATGCACTGACAACTTAAGGAACACGGGGCGTGAAGCGTTTCGCGCATCTCACTATCATTGAGCAGCTAACAGGATTGCGGCATTAGCCAATAAAAAAAAGCGAAGGGTCAAATCACGAAGCAGGAAAGGGGAAGCATACTAAACCACGCCCTGCGTTTCTCAGCATCCGACTAACTATATTTGTGAATAAAAATGTGTTCGCAGGGGAAGCTAGACTACGAGACAGTCACCCGAAAGATGAAGTACGTCGGGCAGGTGATAAACGAGACACTGCGTATCTGGCCTCCCGGCCTTACGTAAGTAGGAAAATATTTGTTTGGTCGCTTTTATTATTCTGTATCTTAGAGTGTGCGTGTCGAACCCTGCAGTAACAATAAAACAAAGCACAGCAAAAGTTGAGTTCTTAATTTTTGCGATTTTCGCTTCATATCTGGACTGACAGCGTACCCCTAAAAGGTATGACTTGAAAGCAGGAAGGGCTTATTTGCTCAGTATAACTTAAAGGGGTACGAAAACGAAAATTGAAATTAAAAATTTTGTTCGGAAATGAGTCAAGCATAAAGGATAATAACCGTAAATGATAATGGCACGTTTGTTTTTTGAATGACTAGCTATATGTTTCGACCCAAACGGCCCACTTCATCAATCGTTTAAAGAGCGCAAAGCGTCAAAAAATTAACGGCGAAACAATTTTTTTTTTTCATTTGTGAGGTAACAAGGTTGGAGTGGATGAGCTTTGCCGTTGGTGGCGTTGTAGTGGCGTCAACGTGTTACAACCGAACTGTTAAAGTAGCCGTGGTGTGACAAGCGTATCACGTATGAGGCGCTTGCCACCCCACGTCGGAAACGACGGACGTGCGAGCCGGATCAACAGAGCACGAAGTTGCTCGTCGTACGGAAACTCGTGGATCGGAATATCGCTGATGACCAAACAACAGTTTTCAGCCATGGAGAAGTGCGGCGGCATCTCGAAGTTAAGAAGCGAAGAACGGCTTCGAACTGTACAGCAAAGACACAAAAACAACTCGGTGACATTCCTTAACGAGTCTATCATGGAATCTCGGTGGCTTCCTTCGTAAAGGGTCAAAGGTTTCACAATCGCGTTCAGGCGGAGGTAACTTAAACGGTTGAGCGTACTTCCAAGGAGCGGCGCTGCTCCGATTTTGAGTGCGGCTAGGTAACGGTCCCTGCTGTGTCATGAGTACGTAGCAAGATTCCCAACGTTGCTAGATTACTTTCCAATCAATCTTCACAGGCGTCTACCAGGTACACATTGCAATATCATTTAATTAGCCTTTAATGTAGCTTTCTTGTGCATTTCAACGACAGACTGGTGTTTTTGAGGTTATGGTGTAACATGCAACACATGGTTAAGCTAGGAAAGGAGTGCTGGAATTTTGTTTCAGTACCCATTTAAAGGTACTGGGGTTCTAGGTAAACAACATTAGGTGCCAAAAACTCCGCCTTATTTGTCTTTCTCAGTGAAAAATATTATATAAATGTGTCCAATAAGCTTATGATATAAGAGCTCTTATGCACCTTATATATTTTATATAAGCTTTGAAATGTTTATTGAACAAATCATATATGCATTTTCTTTTCAATAGAGCTCTGCTTGTCAATTCAGCGTTTGCCATCGTTCCACATCGCAAAACATTCACTAATTTAGATAAATTTGAAAGTGATGAGCCTCTAAAAAAGCGGAGGAGCATAAGAGTTCTTTAATCTAACAAACAAAGTAACTTTCACGGCGACGTTTAGCTGTTAGTAGGAAACTTTCCGGGTAATAACGCTTTTGCGAAAATTTACAAAGGCTGCGTGCGAAGTCCGGTACGTCTCTCTGCCCTTCCGCGCGCAAGAGAGAGAGAGGGTAGCGCAGCTGGCCAGCTGGCCGCCGGCTCGCCTGCCCTCGCCTGCTCGCCCGCGTTTTCCCCGTGGCCTGCATGGCCATCTGCAACCGGTCCTGCAACTAGCGTTCCCGACATTCCACTCGGCTGCTGCGGATGGCGCTGCACGTTTTGCAACAGGTCTACTGCGTGGTCGCCCACCGCGAAAACTCCTGATGGACACGACATGTGCAAAGAACAGGCGAACGTAGACATGGGAAAGTCCGTAGCGGGTTCGAAGGATGCGAATTTTAGTTATGCTCGGCTGCTGTCGCTGTCACACCCGTCAGGGTCCGTTCACACACTTGCCACCGAGTAGCAGTGACTGAAACAAGAAAACATTTCAAGCCTCTTACGACAGCCAAGGACCCATTGCGCTGCGGAGAAGCTGATCTTAAGCCGCCACAAGAGGCTTAAAAGCTGGTATTGTCTTAGTCGGTCCTACTCGGTTGCAAGTGTGGGAACGGGACCTTACGCTATAGGGTAAATGCATTCAGGTTTTTTGCTGCTATTTGTTTACGCCAGTATCAAGGGTACTTGTGCAAAAAAAACGACACCATGCTTTCACTAGCAGATATAACTCTCATATGCTTTCGAGTATGTGCAATAAACTTGAGCTTTCTCCACAGATTTACCACGAGGCAGGCAAAAGAAGACTTTGAGTACAAGGGCATCAAGTACAAGGCCGGGACGTGCATCATGTCTCCGACTCTCCAGATTCATAGGGACGAGCGCTTCTTCCCAGATCCCATGAAGTTTGACCCTGACAGGTAGTGACACACAACATGCTTGACAACGATGATGAAAAAATTATCTATATTGCTGATGTCGAGTATGGTTTAAGCTTTACGCGATGGTACACTTGCACAACTAAATGCAGACCTAATGCTAGGTTGTACTTGTTCACTTTAACCGGACATCTCAGGATGAACTTTTACCTCATTCTAGTTTTGCTATTGTATGCTTCTCTTGGGCTGTGATTTGGAGGGACATTTTGTTACACTTAAAAGTACGCCAGAAGTGCAGGTATGAACGTCCCAGGTGACTTCGGGAAAGTCAAAATACTGTGTCAATGAAAGTTAAGACTAGAACGTCAGGAATAACGCATTAGGTATGATAAATTAAATCACTAAAACATTACACGCGCACAATTCATAGTCATAAAATATGAACAACACTTATTTAGTATTAACTATTAATGTATCTTGGTATTGCATTTTGGCGTCGATTCTTTTATTTAAGACATAATGATACTAATGTACCGGGTGTATCAAGGAGAGGCCAGGCTCTTTAAATCGGCCGCAAAATTTGGTTTCTTAACCTATCGCGCCACGATTTTGTGCAGCGTTGCCCACAGATGGTGCATTTTTTTTTTGTAAGATTTGCAAAGAGCGAACTCACCTGAGGAAAAAGTAAAGAAAGAAAAAGGCTTAGCTCCTATGGAAACGCAGCGACGCCACCGGTCTTCAAACAACACGGCGCTGTTTCGCACGGGAGACAAGAGATGGCGCAACGAACCCCGCCAACAAACGAGCATATGGCGCCGAGAGCCGGCGTCTTTAGCAGACGATCTTTTCGACTCAAAAGCGGCGCACGTTCCGCAGGCGGCGACAGTCGCAGAAACAAAAACAGGCGCGGTAACAACAAGGAACTGCAGTTCCTCGTCTGCTAAAGACGCCGGCTCTTTGCGTCGTATGCTCGTTCGTTGGCGGCAGTTGGCGTCGCCACCGCTTGCGCCATCTCTTGTCTCCCGTGCGAAACGACGCCGTGTTGTTTAAAGACCTGTGGCTTCGCTGCGTTTCTATAGGAGCTAAGCCTTTTTTTCTTTACTTTTTCCTCAGGTAAGTTCGCTCTTTGCAAATTTTACAAAAAAAAAAAAAAAGCATCATCTGTGGGCAGCGTTGCACTAAGTCGTAGCACGATAGATTAAGAAACCAAATTTTGCGGTGGATTTAAAGAGCCTGGCTTCTCCTTGATACACCCAGTATATGAAATTAGGTTTGCGTTCACTTGGTGAGAAACATAATCCAGGGATGTACTTTTGCGTTCAATATGAGCTGTAACGGTCCTTGCCACTTTGTCGTAAACGCCAGCTTCTAAGACAGCTGTGGTTAGACCTAGGAATTGAATGCGATATTGAGGTCTCATAATTTGGACTCTGCAAAACCGAAACATAATAGCGCTTGTGAGAACCACACATGCACACGCACACGCACACACACAAACACGCAGACGTAGACACTGACACAGACGCAGACACAGGCGCACACACAGGCATACACATAGGCACACACACACAGACACGCACAGACACAAACACGCAGACGCAGACACAGACACAGACGCAGACACAGGCGCGCACACAGGCACACACACAGATACACACACAGACACACACAGACACAGACACACACAAAAGTCGAATCCGGCGTTTCATGTCATATTGATCGTGATAGTACGAGCTAAACAAGGTGACAAACTGTCGAGGTTTTTAGACTAACACTATTTAAAACTTGTCTGAAGATTGCATGACAGCGTCCGGGAGTAGGATGATAGAACGCTCGCGCTAAGACGCTGTTGAAACATCGTTAATCTGATAATGCAGAATTGCATTTTTACAGAAGCTATCTCAGATTCCATGGGCGTCGGCTAAATTCTGCGCGCGGATTTGCACAGTCAAAGCCAGGAGAGTTACTAGCCCTCCCAAAACTTGCGCCGCGAACCAACTGCGCATGTACGCACCCGTCGATTGTCGACACGTTACGAGTTGGCAGGGCGCTTCCTCGCCATAGCCTCTACATTTTCGGCGTCGTCGCAAGAAGGAAAATTAAAGATAGAACAGCAAGTTGACTTTTGGAAAAGACGCGACGTCCCGTTCCAGAAAGACAGATATTGTGCTTGAGAGTCAGGAGTGTTTCTCATAAAATGCAATTCTGCACCGGACGGTTTTGAACGATATATTAAAATACTGCTGCAATTTTGTTTTATTAACTTTGACAGTTGGGACATTAACATTAGCCTGTTTGGGGCATAATTATTTATTCTGCTCGATATTTCGTGAAACTGTGGTTACGGAAATGTGTAGGCAATACTCTTGTCTTACTCATAAACATTTGGGTGCAATTTGTTTCGTGTTCGCTCGTGCACCTCCGCAAAACATCGCGTTCTAACCGGATGTCGCAGGTTCAGCGAAGAAAACGAAGACAGCATCTCGAAGATCGCTTTCCAGCCTTTTGGCATGGGACCCCGAAACTGCGTGGGAATGAAGCTTGCTCTGCTCGAAGTCGCCTACACCATTGTAAAGATGACGCAGCACTTCCGTTGGGAACTCGGCGACTCACAGCTGGCAAGTTGAATCCAAAATAATTACTTCAGCCGAAGTTAAAGCCAATGAGGCCAATCACGAGCTCCAAAAGTGTGTCCTCCTTGTCCTCATCGTCCTTGTGCACCACCAACCGAAGCAATCACAACCAGAAAAAAAAAAAAAAGAAAACGCAGGATCAAAGTGCGTGGTTGCCTTTGCCGGTGACAGAAAACGCAAAAGAAGGGACGAGAGCCATGATGGTGCCCCTTTTTTTTATTCTGCCCGATTGGCTCCATCTGATCTGAGCTGCGGTCGGGCTTAAAGTGAAACGGAGGTTAGATATGACCACACCTTGACAGTATTACGCCAATACTTTGTTTCGATTTAAGCTTGTACGCAGCCAACGCTACGAGTCGATGGTATCAATAAAACGGTGTCAACACCACAACGTCATAGTGTTTTTATAATGTTTCTGCGCGTGTTTTATTATCGCTGAACCAGTCATGTAGAGAGAAGGCCCAGCGACTTGAACTCTTTGTCTTCGTGTTCGTGGTGGTGTATGCGTCTGGGCCATCCACTGCCACTCCGACGTATAATGAAACATAGTTTACGTATCATTTCAACGCTTACTTTGGCCACCACGACATCATTAATGCAGACAAAAGAGCTGCGCTCATTGTACTTCCCATACAAGCAGTACTTATCATTACGGACGCAGCTATTCATCAGAAAATTCATCAGTGAATCTTTTCAGTTCTTACGGTTCGAGATAAAAGTGCTGAATCACTCGGCTGTCGACGCATGTCAGGCATCGGTCGTTCGGCAAAAGAGAGTTAATTACTGCGCATCCTCAGAACACGTTCTACAGCCCAAGATACACCTGGTCACGTGACCTCCCCGTTACCCAATCACCGTCGAGCACCTCTCTCCTTCTCTACCACGCGTCATCTAATCACTGTCCAGCCTCGTGGCAACGATTTTTTTGGGGGTTTCACAAAATGCGGAACGCCTAACCAAAGAACGTTTCAAGTTAGAACACGCGACCGGGTGTCAAGTTGCTATATGCCGGAAGCAAAGCGGATGTCCCGCAGCGCTTTCCCTCCAAATAGCAGCTCAGCTCACGGCCGTGCGTCGTGACATGCTGGCCCAGGACGAGACGTTTTATCATTGGTTAAAAATGTGTTAATTCCATCATCTATAAATACATTTTTTTACACTACACACCTCACACTTCCTGTGAAAACTTGACTACAAGAAGCAAATGTATTCGTGCCGTGGGTGTCCACTGCATTCTCCGCAAGACACCTGAAACCCTGGAACGCGTATCTTTAGAATGCTGGGACGCCTTCCTGCCCGGAAATGTCCTCAAAAGAACTATTAGAAAAGTCCCTTCGGCAACATCTCAGGGAAGTAGGTCATAATCCTGGGCCTGAATGCCACATGGTGATGTAGAATGGCCGTACGTAACGCTGATGCAGATGCGCGTCGTGCAAGATTGTATTTTATAGAAAGTGTACCTTGCGTAAATGCTGCATACTTTACTTTAGCTTGCCCCCCCCCCCCCCCCCCCCCCCCCCCCCCCCGAAGGGGTTTTTCATTTTGGATCCTCTTGAGCATCTGAAAGCATTTCAAACTTCACGTGCGCGTTGCGACCGAGAACTTTATCTTACATTTCTGCATGTTTTGTATTTCCTTGTTAAAACAGGCAATGAAAAAAAAAACAAGGGATGTGTTGAGGCCTGGGTTCAATTCCCGCCTAGCGCAAACGCTTTTTTTACTGCAATGGCCTCAACTGTCCCGAACCTCATGGCCACGCTTTTATCTGGGGTTCACTAAATGCCGAACTCCTAGCCAAATAACGTTTCACGTTGAGGATCTTTGATAAACTCGCACCGGAATCGCCCTGAAAACAGGAAAGTACACAGCGTTCCTCGATGGTGCAGCACGAAGTTGGTACAGCGTCGAGTACAAACTGCGCCGCATCTGTGCACCGTGGCGAGAGCTCCCATGCGTCACTTCGCGTTTTTTTTTGTTCTTTTTTGCGTTCGTCCGCCCACAATGCCCTTCTGCTGTCGATCCCTCTTGGAATTTTACTCGCGGACTTAGCCATCCCATTCAAATATTCATCGTGAGTGTGAATGTTTATGTGGCCACGAAGCGGGCGACAATTCCACCGGCTTACTTTCTCCGTCAATCTTTGTTCGAGAGAGAGTACCACCAAATAATAGCCATACCTTAGTGTCATCGAAACGCCTCCCAACGCTCTCCTTGAAGTTTATAACTTTCGGGCACTCCTTGTCACCGCAGCAACCACCGGTGATAACGGCGATGGTAAGATGCTTGTTGTCCTCGCTGTCAAGAGAGCTGAGGCATTCATGGAGTGCGGCTTTGTGAAGTGTTCGTTTTCTCCTGGTCGCCTTCTCGGTAGACTCCGCGTCTGCTATTCCGGCCATCTCCTTGATTCCCGCTCCTGGCCGCAATGCTTGATACTGCCAATTTTCTTGGTGGGTGTTGAGGCAACGGAAATCCTTAACTGTAGGGTGCGTTCCACGGTTCGAGAACGTCCGGTGCGCACGGGTGCACTCGATCGAAGACGACGGGGCGCACTTCGGTGCCCCGGTGCGCACCGGTGCGGATGATGAAGACAGCTATGAATATTAGCAGTGTTACCTCGGCTGGATGGTTTTGTCGAGTAGATTTATGAATATGCATTTCATTTCAGGGAGAAATGCCAATGGAACAGTACGGAGCGTCGTCCACGCCGGCAAGAGGACCGTGGATCGTCTTCCATAAATTGTGACCACAAGATGGCGCAACGCTCAATGACCTGACGAATTCTTATGTCACTTTATTAAACCTTTGCGGGCTGGTTTAACAACGAGTGTTTTATTTATTCATGATTTGGTTGATAGAGTAACAAAAAAAAAAGTAGAAGTAACACATGCGCTTTTGGGCAAAGCTGGACATATGGGAGTTTGATTTTGGTTTTGTCTTACTATAGCAACTGATAGATTTACAACAATACAGAATTTAGAAACAAGCCCTCCTTTGCCCACACCCGGTGTGGGCACTCTGCCTACCCCGAAACCAGACTGGCGTGAGATGAAGCTTTTGCGCATGCGCAGTTCTGTCAGCAGCGCCATGGCGCTGGAGTGACGTCAGAGAGTTGAGGTAGTCTATTAGAAACGCAGGGCGAGACGTGTTCGGACCAACTTATCAACGCGCCGCAGCAGCTGGGATTATGGCGTGATCCGATACGAAGGCAGACGAATGAATTGGGAGCCAAGAAGTGCGAGCCCAATGAGCCACACAAAAAAATCAGTAAAAGGTATACCAATTCAGTTTTTGTGAGTAAGTTACACGGCCCTGGGAACATTATATATTAGCGGCCAATTTTTACTGTAGGTTGAATAATTAACTAAGATTTCTTAATTGTTTATTTAAGTAGTGAAGGTACACAAATGTGTTCAATTAAAAACTTGCTGGGCGTCGTCTCAAAAACCACCAAATCAGTCAATTTTCGGAGCGACTCGAGGCACGTAGAAAACGTGAGGTGCAAAAAATGCACCACTCGTGCGGCGGGCGAAAGGCTACCGATGGGGAAATGCGGATAATCATCAAATCATCAGCGTTTCCCCAGCGCTCGCTTTTCGCCTGCCGGACGAGTGGAAACTTTGGTGCGCTTCCGTCCTTCCCACGTGCTTCGAATAAAAGGGATTTAAAATTTTATTATTTATTCGATCTATTCTGATGATTAGCCGCCTATATAACGTCCCCCTGGCCGTATAACTTCATCTGCACGAACGGCATTAGTATACGTTTTGGCGGATATATTTTGTAATAAATCTGTCCGGGAATTAAGAAATAACACTTTGTACAGATCCCTTTCGAAACACTGCCCTCTGTTGGCGGCTGTTAAAATCCCTGCACAATGGCGTACAAAAAAATACAGGAGGACACTCAGGAGTGCTCACGTGTAGGAATGTAAAAGCATTCGTATACGTAGTGTATTCCTACAAGTTGTGCGTCCCGCTATCTTCCGCAAAGGTCTGCCGAGCGGCCTCGGTGGAGGCCACCCGGCCTGGCTCTGCAGAGCAACTGTCGCGTGCGGCAGACGCGCGGGTGCTACCCTCTCCCTTTTACAGGCGTACGGGCCGCAGCGCCACGAGAGGGCTTCTCTGTAGGGTGGCGTTCGCGGGAACTATGACGCGTCGCCCCCATTTTAACTGCCGTTTCGCCGAGGGCGGGAATTTCGGAGCCTTTTTTGTGTTTACAAGCAACGGCGGCTGCGCTCCATAGGGCATTTATTGCTTTCGCATTGTCCCGGCACACTGTAAAAAAAACAACAAAAAAACATTTATCTGCGCAGTGACCTTGCACTTCCGACGCTGTTTTGATTGGCTCGTCGGCTCATAGCGTTGGTCGCGCTCCCACGTTTGCTTTCTTATGGAATAACTTGCACGTTCCTCGATGTAGTTGTTCCGCCATTGCGCAGTGGCTCCGAACTTCTAATACTCGGCACGGGACTTTCAAAACGGGTCTATAGTATGACTCAGTTTCACTTTCAATTTGACGATCGCATGGAGAAAGCAAGCAGCGCGAAACTGCATCGTCACTGCTCTCTTTCTCCTTTTGTGTATGGTGTATACAACCGGTTAAACCAATCATGTAGAAAGAAACACAGGATCTCGGCGCATTGGGTGTGCGTGATAGGTTTTATTTGGTGGTAGGCGACCCGCAATGCTGTTTAGTTTGGCGCTATCTAGCGACTGAATCAAGAAAGCTATGCCAGGGATTGGCGGCTGCTATTACTCTGGTGACGCCCGTTAGCCTAGTGTCTGAAGCAAAAAATGCTGGCTAGGCCAGGAAGCCGTGATCGCATAACATGCCAGTACGGTGGAGGCTACGGCCCTGGCGGGCCAATCGGAGTGTGAGTACGTATCACCGCGGGGCGCGCTTTTACTACGAAGAAGTATCAGGCTTTTCGCCAGGGTTGGGCAGAAATACTCAAAAATGTATTTGGAAATACAAATACTGGGATACATTAAAATAGTTGCTAAAATACTGATACTGAAATATATCTGTAAAAGTGTATTGCGATACGTATCGGAAATACATTTTAAATAGCAGCAAAATGTATTTGGAAATACAGATACAGGAATACATTTTAGGAAGGCAGAAATACAAATGCAGAAATACTGATACTGCAATACATTTCTCAAATTTGTTTGAGACGCCAAATGAGATGAAGCTTGACGTTGTAAGTGGAAGTTTTTGATCCTGAAATTACATTCCCGTAGGCTTGGCACTTTGCCTTGAAGGTAGTAATTTCGGACGACGAGGAGTCTTCAGTGGGCTAAAAAAAATGTTCCATCAAGGACTGACCGCGGTCCCTTCCCTGACATCCTGCCTGTCTGAGAGGGATGCGAAAAAACTTCGACCTCTAAATAAATTCCATGTCATCCTAAATTGCGTCAATACGTCACCACGCCCCTGTCCAATAAGGACGCCCCCTTCAACATTTATCACAGGACGTCACTTTGGAATGAACTGGTATTATTTATCTGTATAGGTGTGGCCCTATACAGATAAATACCACGCTGCTCTATGACAAGACAATACGTACTTTCGTTGTAGGTTACCTCGTTGAAGATCGTGCAGACAGTCTCATTTGGAAGTTTTGAGAATAGTGGACCACCTGAAGCATCCTGGAACACATGTCTTATCTTGTGTTACGGTTGAAAAAACGATACGGTGGCATCACTGTTGTGAAGGTCCTTCCTGCTGACCCTCCGCCACCGACGCATGGATTGCAGTCCTCAAGTCTCGCCTTGCATACTCCCAATAGAGACCTCGTGGATTGCGACCTGATATTGCCGGCAGAGGTGCGAGCTCTCCGAGAAACAGCGCTGCGCTCGAGATGAGTCGCTGGTGTACGAAGTCTGAGTCGGCACAGCGAGGCCACGTCTGACCTCCTTCCTCGGTTTCGGATCACCAGGGCAGCGGGTCACTTTCACGTCGGGTGATGACGTACCCTTGAGCCGTGCAATATTACGGGCGCAGCCGCAGACGCATTCGCATATGTGTTGAACTTCACAGCGTGAGTCGTCCTACTATTTCAAGTCAACCACCGCCAGGCTCGTGCTGCAAGCGCAACAGACTGTGACTCAGATTTGCCGGCTGGGTGTACTGTGTACGCTAAGGCACGAGAGACGCTTAGCAGCGGGCTTTGGATACCAGCAAACAATGACTAAAAAAAACCCTACCTAAGGACCTGTGGCACAATATGCTCTGACTCCACTCCTGGCACGCCACCTGATTTGAGTCCCCGACTACGGAACACTTCTCAGAAGAGAGAAGAGGGCGCATAGAAAAATAGTTTGGAGAATCGGAAGGAGCCTTGGTCAGCATGATAACAATGCCCCAGCATCTCCTAGACCTTGGTGCACTCAAAAGTAAAAAAAAAAAATAAAAAATGCGTTCGGATTGTTTTTTTTTTTTTTTTTGGGGGGGGGGGGGGGAGTATTTTTTAAGATATGTAACGAAATACATTTCACCCTGATTGTATCGCGATACAAGAAAACATACAAAATGTATTTTGATACAGGAATACAGATACTGGTGAAAAAAATGTATCGCGATACAGAAATACGGATACAAAATGTATTTCTGAAATACTATCGCGATACATTTGTATCGCGATACTGCCCAACCCTGGTAAGAACATTCTTAAACAGGACAATATCAGTGGTGTTGGCAGTCGAGGCGGGAAGGTGGTTCCAATGCAAGGACATTTGAGGAATGAAAGAATATTGAAATAACGATGTTTTGAAATTTGGAATGCCGAGCTTATGACTATGATCAATGCGAGCGGAGATGTAGGATGGTGGGTTAATTAGTTCTTGACGAAGGACAAGATTTTAGACACAAACGAAGTATTTTACGGCGATGATTAAGTGATGGTACACCTAACGTGTTTTTCATTGTAGTGGCGCTGGCGGTGCGGTGATGGTTTGGCATAATGAAACCGGCTGAGCGGTTTTTAATGGATCCAAGGATGGTAATTAGTGACCAGTGAGCAGGGTCCCACACAGCTTTGACATATTCCAATTTTGGACGAATTTGTGTTTTGTACATGGTTAGTTTTAATGAAGACGGAGGGAGAAAGAAACTTCTTTTCAAGTACCCTAATATGCAGTTAGCACGATTAACTATGTATTCGACATGGATCTTCCAAGAAAGGTTAGACGTTATGTGAACTCCAAGATATTTATAACCAGACACTGCAGCGAGAGGTTTACTGTTAATATGGTAGGTATGACACACAATTTTAGAACGTGATATTCTCATTGATTTGCATTTGTCAGTGTTTATTTTTTTTAGCCACTCGTTACACCATAGCGTTATCACATTAAGGTCAGATTGTAAAAAGAAAGTGTCAGATATGTCAGTAATATTTCGATAGATTACGCAATCGCCAGCAAACAGGCAGATGGAAGAGGAGATGTTTAGTACCAAGTTATTAATGTAAACAAGAAAGAGCAGCGGGCCAAGTACGGATCCCTGTGGGACAGCCGAATTAACTGGTACAGAGCTAGAATTGGTAAGGCACGTTGTTGGGCTAGTTGGTTCATCTTAGTAAAACATATAAAATAGCGCAACAGAAACAAGGACAAGAAGTAAACAGGACAGGCGCTAACTTTCAACTAGTTTTATTCTGGAAAATCGAACACATATATACACACGACAGGCAAAGCAGTCAATTGTTGAAAGTTAGCGCCTGTCCTGTTTACTTCTTGTCCTTGTTTCTGTTGCGCTATTTTATA